CAGTTAGAATGTAAGGAAAGGAAGAAGATGATGACCATATTTTGTTTTGTTTACTGTGATATCCCTACCCTTTGAATACTTCCTGGCAAATAGAAGAATTCATTGCATATCACTAACGACTGCATACTTTTAAAAGTTTTAAAATCACAAGACAATATCATATATACAGAGAAGTACCTAAAAGTACAGTGTAAGGAATGATTAAACAGGGAGTCTGCTTGAGATTCTCTCCCTCTTCCTCTCCCCCCACTCACACATGTGCACTCTCTCTCTCTCAAGATCTTAAAAAAATACTGATACTTAAAAAAGATACTGAGTCAGAATTTTTATATACTAGCTAAAAAGTGGATATTCAGTTTGGTTATAAACTAAGATGATGGGGCGCCTGGTGGCTCAGTCATTAAGGGTCTGCCTTCGGCTCAGGTCATGAACCCAGGGTCCTGGGATCGAGCCCCGCATGGGGCTCCCTGCTCAGCGGGAAGCCTGCTTCTCCCTCTCCCACTCCCCCTGCTTGTGTTCCCTCTCTCGTTGTGTCTCTCTCTGTCAAATAAATAAATAAAATCTTAAAAAAAAAAAAAGCCCTTATTCATTTCCCAGTCTTCTGAGAACCATGTTTTCAAAAATTTCTTAGCAAACTGCATTAAATAATAATTTATTTCTCAGTAATAAAAAACATATAATCATGATGATAATTTCCGTTCTAAACTACATAACCAGTGGTTTATATATTATCCTGAGTTTCTATGATTCTAATCAAAAGCACAGAAAGTCTGGGCACCTGTGTGGCTCAGTTGGTTAAGCGACTGCTTTCGGCTCAGGTCATGATCCTGGAGTCCCAGGATCGAGTCCCGCATCGGGCTTCCTGCTTGGTGGGGAGTCTGCTTCTCCCTCTCACCACCCCCCCGCCGCCTTGTGCTCTCTCTCTCAAATAAATAAGTAAAATCTTAAAAAAAAATTTAAAAAGCACAGAAAGTCTTACCTAGCCTGCCTATCCTAACTAAATCATGGGCATCTGTAATTTTTACCTACACATTTTGAAATACTGAATATAACTCACTGTGAGTTGAAGCCCAGGTTAAGAATCACTTCTACTTCATATAAAAGATTAACACCTAAGAGAAGGCTTTCATGTGTTTACATACTAATCAAAATTATATTTTATTATTTTTATATAAATTTGGCAAAGGGACAGGTTTTTTTTAAAAGATTATTAAAAGATTTTATTTATCTGACAGAGAGAGACAAAGCGAGAGAAGGAACACAAGCAGGGGGACTGGGAGAGGGAGAAGCAGGCTTCCCGCAGAGCAGGGAGCCCGAGGCGGGGCTCCATCCCAGGACCCTGGGACTGTGACCTGAGCCGAAGGTATACGCTTAACGATTGAGCCACCCAGGTGCCCCTCAAAATTATATTTTAAAAAAAGATTTATTTATTTATTTTGGAGAGACCTAGAGAGAGAGAGTGGAGGGGGGAGCAGCTGAAGGAGAGGGAGAGAGAAATTCTCAAGCAGACTCCCCATTGAGTTCAGAGCCTGACTTGGGGCTCCATCCCAGGATCCTGAGATCATGACCTGACCCGAAATCTAGAGTTGGGACGCTTAACCAACTGAGCCACCCAGGCGCTCCTAATGGAAATTATACTTAATCCATTTATTCGTTTTTCTTTTTTCTCCCCATTTCTGAAGTATTTCTTTTTTTTTTTCTTTTTTTGTTTTTTAAAGATTTTATTTGTTTATTTGACAGAGACACAGCGAGAGCAGGAACACAAGCAGGTGGAGTGGGAGAGGGAGAAATAGGCTTCCCTCTGAGCAGGGAGCCCCATGAAGGGCTCAATCCCAGGACCCTGGGATCATGACCTGAGCCGAAGGCAGACACTTTAACGACTGAGCCACCCAGGAGCCCCTGGGGTATTTCAACTATAATTTTGATTTGCTAAAAATGAAAATGCAGAGTTATTTATTCTGTTAGCTAGGAGAATCAGAAGTTGTAGCCCGAACTACTTCCACGTTGCTTTTTTGTTGTTCAAGATCCAGTTAGTACTTTTCTCCTAATAATATAATTGAAATTAATCAAGTGAACAGAGACAAATCTGATAATCACTTTTCATTCAATTCCTTAATGGTTCACTATTATTTATTATCTGAATGCAACTTAAGCAAAATGTGCAAGCCTTTTTAGCATCTTGTATTTCTCTACTTTTCTGGTTTTGCTCTCTTTTCCTTAGCCTTGAAAATGACAGATCGCTTCAGAACTATGAACTAATATACATTCAGATTTTTTTTTTCCCCCAGTGGGAGAGCTTACCTCCCTCCCAAGTTTATCCCGAGTACTCTTACTCATCCTTAAACATCCAGCTCAAATGTCAACTCCTGTATAAGGGGAGGAAAGAACACATACTTAAATGTAGGTATATCATAGTGTGTTTGCTTAATACTTGTTCACATGAATCAAGAAGATATTTCTAGAAACAGGATTCCGAAACATTTATTTTGAGGTGAGAAGAGAAATAAATTTGTACAGGGTTAAATTTTAGGAATTAAAATTTTGTGAATTACGATACTAGTTGGCCTTTCTACCAGGTGCCTTTCTATTTACTGACATAATCAAACTCTGTCAAAAGATCTTTCTTCATCTCAATTTAAAGCTCATTGAGTCACAAATGGTAACTGATTAGCATGGTAATCTCATATTCCTACTTCATTTGTACAGATTTAACAAGGTAAAATTTTATTTTTGACATAGAGAAATTGTGGTATATGGAATAAATCAAATGTTTTTCAATGAAATAATGAAATGAAACAATCTTTGGGTTACCTATCTAACAGTAGATAGTTTTAGTTAATTTTGATAGTTTTAATTTAAAATTAAAATACCCACATCTTTTTTTGCTGTTTAATATCTTAAACTATAAAGTGTTATTAGACTTTACATTACAGACAGGGTTTGGGTTTTTTTGTTTTGTTTTGCTTTAAAAATGAATTCTTAAAAATCGTAAAGTGGCCAATTTTATTAAGTATGTTTTACTACAATAAAAAAATTCTTAAAAGCAATGCACAAAATAAAAACCTCAGTTGCTGAATGTTCTCTCTTATACCAGTCCTCATATTGCCGTACATTTTGCCTTATACTGCCCTCCATTTTTCCTTTACCTCTTGAACCTGAGCACTAAGTGAACTTTTCCTTTATCTTACCAAACTTTCCTCCGCATTCACAACTTTTTAACCTTTTATCCTAAATTTACCTTAAGCGAGACTTTCGCTGAAGACACAGACATCTAGATGCCCATAGTCTTAATCTCAATTTCTGCCTTTAGTGATTTCAGTATCCACATAGACAGTTGTAACTTTGTCTGTATCTTGAGCTCATTTCCAGTGACCTTCTCTTGACCGTGCCTTAGCTAGGCATTTAATTTTTAGGTCATACCATAGACCTTACATTAACTGGAGCATGTAAACTCCCAAATTACCAAAGGTGCTGATCTCTCTGACAGAGTCCATTGTTCAGGCTTGTTTGTGCAGCTATGCCAGCTAGTGTTATATTCTGATACCTTATCTGAGCTACTGTCATAGAGTTCTAGCTAGTCATCCTGTTCTCTCTTCTTCGGGTTTATCTTTTATATTTCTGTCTGACGATTTTCCTGGAACATAAATCTGATTATTACATCTTGGTTAGAATTTTTCAAGGGTTTCCCATTACTGAGAAGGTAAAATCCAAACATTAGCATGGCATACCCAGCCTTTCACAGCCTGATTCTGGATTTTATTAATTATTATCTCATATTTTGACCTTTGCCTGGCTTTCTTTGGCTAAATTGAAGTCTTTGTAGTTCCCTAAATATGCCTCTGTATTTAGCATATGATACTACTATTCTGACTTTACTGTGAAGCTTTCGTTGGTATTAAGGCTGTGTTCTTATTGCAGACTATATGTATCTCCATTATAGTTCTTATCACAGTATGGTATCATTTCATATGTGTGCCTATTTATTACAAGAATATGAACAATAATGGATTTTTCTTACTCATGTATCCCTAACATACAGAAGAATCCCAAAAATATTTGTTGACTTAATGAACAATTTACACAAAGGAACTAAAACTAGGAAAGAAAACCATTCTACCCTCCTAGTAGCCAAAGAACTGTAGTCTTTACTCTCAAGTGTAAATTTTCACACAATAATATTAGGAAATAATAAACACCACTCATGTTGACAAAGTTACAATAAAACTGTTGTTGGTGAATTTTAATTGGTTCAACTCTTGGAAAAATTTGACTAGTATGGAGCGCTGAAAATTGTTTCAAATGGTGATTGTAAAGACAAAGAAAAGTCAGATGTAAAATTGCACATACATTCTATATACTTGTATTTTGGAATACGGAATAAAAAGGCTAAGGAATATATATTACAGTGGTAGTAGTGGTTTTATGATGTTAAAACTAGGGGTAGTTTCCCCACTTTGGAAAGTATTTTCTATAATTTATATTTTATGATTTAAAATGTATACAACTTATTCCAATATTTGGATTTTTTAAAAATGTAATTCTGAATCAAAATCCTTATGTAAGAGCACTTGAACAGTTTTTAAGTTAATTTTTTTAGTCTTACAAAATGGCTTCTCAGGCTCAGGTCAGAAGGAAAGGGATTGGTAATTAAAAGTTGCTGTTGAGGTAAGGTATGTGAGGGCAGCATAGAATGTCCATTATTTGAGTAAGGTCTTAAGTTTGAGTCATGTAGCAATTCATTTTAAGAATTTTAATAGTAAATTTTCAGGGCGCCTTGGTGGCTCAGATGGTTAAGTGTCTGCCTTCGGCTCAGGTCATGATCCCAGGGTCCTGGGATCGAGTCCCACACCGGGCTCCCTGCTCCTTGGGAGCCTGCTTCTCCCTCTGCTTCTCTCTCTCTCTCTCTCATGAATAAATAAATAAAATCTTTAAATAAAAAAAAAAAAGAATTTTAATAGTAAATTTTCCATTCTAAATGTAGTTTTTGTTTTTGTTCTAAGATACCAGTTTTTGGAAGAAGCTTTTCAAAACCAGAAAGGTGCAATTGAGAATCTACTGGCTAAGCTTCTTGAGAAGAAGAATTATGTTCATTTTGCAGCTACTCAGGTGCAGAATAGGTAAGTGTGTTGCCTTAAAACCATAATTTCACTTTACGAATTAATAAACACAATAGGTCCAGTTTACTTGTGTTTTCCTTCTATATTATATTAAACATATATAGAAAACATTTTTGGAAGGGTAAATCATATAAGTTTGAGTTTGGATTATAATATTTGTTAGTTGAGTAAGATTTAATTCAAAATTTTGAATACTCTTAAGATACATCTTTGACTATTTTATAATCAACAAAACTCTAGACTCTGTAAAGCCTTAAATAACTGTAAAAAGCAATTAACACGTAGAGAGTTGAATTACAAATTTTAACTATGTGGGAGACATAGTATGGAGGAGAGAGTATGAAGAATGGTGGGTAAATTTACCTTCTCATCTGTAAAACAAGAGTTAAAATAAATACCACTTCTCTTAATAGTGTGATTATAAGATGAATGTATAGCACAGCTTGTGGCACATAGCAGACCCTCAGATTTTAACTGTTACTATTTATCAATAATACCATCAGTATTTAAAAATTTTATTCAGGTTCATTTCTAAATGAACTAAATTTATTGGTAAGGCAAGTTGGAATAGGTTCCATAAATGAGTACATTAACAAGGTCAGGACTCAGTGTAGAAAGATGAACACTTGGAGCCGGCATAATTAAAATCTGTATATTCCTGAAGGTGTGAATAGGGTTAATAAGTATTTATTTTTCAGTTTCACAAATATTGAGGCTTTTAGGTACTTCTAGAATGTTGAAGTTAATTTATGATGATTACAATGATTAAAAATGACAATAGATACTCAAAAGTATTAAATAGATGAATGAATAGTACATTATATATTAGACCATAAGGTGGTAGAACTTCCATCTTAACTTTCATCTTACGAAGTGATACCAAAAGCAAACAAAGGCTGTTCTGAGGTTGTAGATGTAACAATGCAGTTGACCCTTGAACAACGTGGGTTTGAACTGTGGGGTCCACTTACATATTTTTTTCAATAAATATAACATTTTCTTTTCTCTAGCTAACTTGATTGTTAATATAGTATGTGATACATACAACATGAAATGTGTTAATCGGCTGTTTATGTTAGCAGTAAGGCTCCTGGTCAACAGTAGGCCACTAGCTAAGTTTTTGGGGAGTCAAAAGGTATACATGGATTTTTTACGGCATGGGGGTAGGTGCTCCTAAGCCCCACTTTGCTCAAGGGTCAGCTGTATATACCTACACTAATATGTTACATAAACTATTCATGGATGGTTAATTGTTATGAAAATGTCAGGATGTTTTAGTGATACTGCTATGTTGTGGGTGATATTGGAGAAGTTTGGTAGCTACCTTCTCATAAATAACAGATGAATATCCTTTTCAGAGAAAGGATAGTGAGTTGATTCATATGGCGTCCCATATTTTTGTACAAATGTTTTGTACATATTTTATATATGTATTTCTGAATCTGTGTAGAGAAGGAGAACAAGAAGTTTATGTGTTATAAAATTGCAGAGGGTTGGGGAGACTAATGATTTCATCTCCAATAAGATTTTTTTTTAAAGTATTGAAATCTCTGATAATACTTCCCTTTAGACACATTCTTTAATGACCTATCTCCATTTTTTAATGTACATTGATTTCTTTCTTCACAATTGAACATATAGTAGACATCCTTAAATCTAATGAGAATCTGACTATGGCTAACTGTTCTCTGCTTTTAGTTTGCTTAATGATTTTAGTCTTTGGCTGAATCATTTTAAGTTGGAATCTTACATTATCAATAGTAATTAGCACGCTTATTTTTTAAAAAGACATCTTCTACACACTTTAATAAGAACAGAATTGAATAAAATTTTCAAATAAGTGCCCAAACATGCGCTGATGTATAGACAAAGGAGGGAAAATTACACTATAATTACTCAGATTATATTAAAGTTACTCAAATTTGAATTGGGCAAATAAAAGATATTTTAGAGGTTGAAAATATGGATAATAATTTGTAAAGAAGTAGAATGTAAAAGTTGAAGGCTGCTTTCTTTGATTGTTTAACATTTTACATATTTATATTGGTGGGACCCCCCGCCCCCAATGAAATAGGTATCAGCTATTTCATATCTGCAACCAAAACTTTTCATTGCCAAAATGGGAGCTTATACCTATTCTAAAACATCTGACAACTCTTTTACAAAGTTGATTGAAGTTGTTTTATACCCTTAATTCTGTACAGTAGGAAAACTGTTTTGAGCAGAACCTAAGGAAGGGGGGGGGCGTGTATCAGAACCCACATATGAAGTGGTTAAGTTGTAAGAGAAAATAAATGCTTCTAAGTTTAATTCCTGTTATTTCAACAGATAATTACTGTTTGCAACATTGTTCTTTTGCACATTGTTCTTGAAAAGTATTAAGTAGATCCAAGGTGCCAGATTTGACACTAGACAACAAATGTTGATGTCAAATGTTTATATATCACATTCAGGTCATAGGAACTAAAGGAGATTGCCATCTAGACTAATAAACTAGCCTTTATGAACTTAATTTAAAATTACTAAATATTCCGTTCTTTGTATAAATAACTTGTTTGGACCAAATTGAGTGCTCAGGTCTACCGAAACATAAATTGTACATTTTGACAAAGGTTTAATTTTAATTACTCGCTTTAAGTGCCCAGTTGGATGAATTTCTGTAACCGTTGATGATTCAGACACATAGGATAAGTTGATAACCTAATGATGCATTTCTCTTATTCAGGATAAAAGAAGTAAATGAGACTAACAAACGAGTAGAACAGGAAATTAAAGTGGCCATTTTCACCCTTATCAATGAAATTAATAAGAAAGGAAAATCTCTCTTACAACAGCTAGAGGTACGGTTCAAAGCCAAAATAAAACAAAAACTGCTTCTATTGCTCTTTAGCTGTTTTTAATGTTTATTGAAAGCTCTTTTAGATTGGTTGGGGGGGCATGGAAGTTAAAGAAAGTTAAAAACATTTTTTTATTTCATTTTCTTTTGGAAAATAGAGCTTTATTGAGTTAGTTAATTTGCAGCCCAATTTAATAATACTGATTTTAGCTGTATAAATTAGGAGATAGTGTTGTCCTCTTAGGAATGAAAGAATTATTACTAAAATGTTATATAAACTAAGACAAAGCCAACCTGCTACATCCTCCCCACCCCCCAAGATAGGCCCTCAATTTAACTATTACATGTGAATGTATATTGGGAGTCTGCTTGAGTCCTTTGTGTGTTTCACTTTATTTTAAAAACATTCCATAGTTTTGCTAAAAATGCTCATTTTGAAATTTATAAACTTTAAATTTACTGATAATTTTGTTGTATTGTTTTTTGTTGCATATTTTGAGATTAATATGTAGATATAAATTTCTAGATAAGAATCAGTCAATTTGTGAAACCCAAATTAAGTTTTAAAGAGTTGCCTCTACTGACCACATTTCATTGGTTTTCAAGATTTGGTGCTCTTAAGTAGGCTTAGATGATAACGGGGTTGTGTTTTCTGCACCATTAAATGGTAGCAATTTAAACTATGTATTTGATTTTTTAACTTCCATTACTATTAACCTCACATTTTCCACGTTTTTTTTTTTCTGTTTCAGTCCTTCATAGAACATTGTAGAAATATTAGACACATAGTTACATACAAATGAAAGAAATGATGTTGGCAGTGCTATTTCTGAATTTAGTCTTTTGAAATACATCTTTTTATTGAGACACAGTGGTGAGATTAAAAGTACTCTCGCACATACTGTTAAAGTTGGAGGTCTCTTTCTTGTTGTGCATCCAGCTGATGCATTTAACTCTACTAGATTTTTGTTTTCAAAAGGACTGTGTGAATGGAGAGCACTGAGCAGCAACTATTTTTGATAACCTTTTAAGTTACTGCAAATACATTTTAACTATAGGTCTAAAATAATGTTCTTAAACAGTTTCAAGAATTTTTGAGTGAAAAGATGCCTCTTAATACTGAAATATACAAAAATACGAGATGATAAATCTGCTGCATACTCCTAATATGCTGAATTTAAGCATGTTTTCTAGTGTAAAAATGTTCTTAAACTTTGTAAAACAGGTTTTCCTAAGCTTTGTTATAAAGGGATGATTTCCAGGGAAGTTGTGAATCAAGCTTCTATGGTTGAATACTTTTATCCACTGTTTTACATTACAAAATGAGCAACTTGTTTTCTTAGGAAAAAATCTGTCCAATAAATCAAGTTGAGGCTTTAAGAAAAATGGTTAAGTACCAAGTAGATAGGTTGTTTGGCATGCCAAATGTCAAAGTGTATAGGACATCACCTATTGCTTCTAGGAGTTTTAGTTCCCAGACAGTTTAATTTTCCTTTGCAGCATTTCCCCCAAAATTGGTCCTTCAACTCTTACTGACTTTCTTTTTCTTTTATGAACTTTTGTCGTTTTAAGTTTCCCTAACTCTGCTCTTAGAACTTTGGAATTTACGTTTCTCATTTTGTCTAAAGTATTTAAAGGAAGAGATTTTAACTCTAGCCTCATGCTGCACCAGTAGGTGGCACTGGCAAGACAAAATTTTCTTTGGTCTGAAAAGTAGAGTTGAGTATATCATATTTCTAAAGGTCAGCTCATTATGCCATAGATTCTGTGTATTGGATCAGCCTAATAATAGATACTGTTTTTATTTTATTTATTTATTTATTTATTATTTATTTATTTATTTATTTAAAAGATTTTATTTATTTGACAGAGAGACACAGCGAGAGAGGGAACACAAGCAGGGGGAGTGGGAGAGGGCGAAGCAGGCTTCCCGTGGAGCAGGGAGCCCGATGCGGGGCTCGATCCCAGGACCCTGAGATCATGACCTGAGCTGAAGGCAGACGCTTAACGACTGAGCCACCCAGGCGCCCCTAGATACTGTTTTTAATAAAGACATTTTTATCTTCTGAAGGAAAAGAGAGACATCAACTAACATTAATTTCTATATAGGGAATGTCCGTTATTAGCTTAGGGAACTTAAGTTTTAGTTCCGCTTTTGTTAGTGACTTTTCTTTTGATCAGAGACTCATTAAATAATGAGGTGCTTGTCAACTTATCCTAATTTTAAAAAGTAATGTAGGTATTCATTTGCAATACAAGTTGTGAGTTGAATTTTTCATATGGAATTCGTCATTGAATTCTTACTCTGTTTCAGAATGTTACAAAAGAAAGACAGATGAAGTTACTGCAGCAGCAGAACGACATCACGGGCCTCTCCCGGCAGGTGAAGCATGTTATGAACTTTACAAACTGGGCAATTGCGAGTGGCAGCAGCACAGCACTACTGTACAGCAAGCGACTGGTGAGACACAGAGTTTAGTATATTTATGGTCTCTAGGTGGACTCTACTGAGATACGTATATTCAGTGAATTGCATTTGGGTAAAGTGTACACTTTGCATTTTTTGCAAGTGTAACCACCGCCACGTTAAGATACGGCAAATTTCCGTCACCCACAAAAGTGTCCTTGTTCCCCTCTGCTCCTGACCGTAGGCAACCATAGTCTGATTTCTCTCACTTTCTGGAATGCATACGAATGGAATCATACAGTATTTACTGTCCTGAAGATACCTAATATCGTAATGTACCTAGTAGTTTATCACCATCGGAATGTAGTTTATCACCAGAAATGTCAGAAGTTCAAGCATGTGCTTTTGATTGCTAATATAGATAGCCGTTTAAACACATACTGTCTCATCTGAGATTGATATTGTGGGGCTACATGAGCTTTTTATGTCTCTGTCATGTATGTTTTCTCAAGTGATCCTTATAATTTTTAAGACTAATGTGAATTTTTCCCCTTTAAGATTACTTTTCAGTTGCGCCATATTTTGAAAGCACGGTGTGATCCTGTGCCTGCTGCTAATGGAGCAATTCGTTTCCATTGTGATCCCACCTTCTGGGCAAAGAATGTAGTCAATTTAGGTGAGAAATAATTAGTTTTATGAATGTAACTGGGTACACTGAATTAGGAGGAGAAAACCTCTAAAGCAAATTTTAGATACTTGAAACTTCACTCTAACATGTAAACTTCTTGGAAAATATGTTCCTCATTGGGAACTCGAGCTATGTTCATGACATCTTTAAGAATGTTGAGCATCTCCTCTGTGTAGATTTTAAAAATGTGTATCATTGCTAACTTTTCCCCATCTTTTAAAATTGATAATGACTGCTTCATGTCAAAAACTTAGCAAATGGGGTTTCATTCTCTGGAAGAATTTATTAGATGCTTAGTAGTTTGTATATAAATTTAGTACCAAATTGTCCACTAGAGGAGGACCTCCAGGATACTGATGTGTCTGAAAGTCATGTACTGAGGAATGTTTGAAAGATAAGAGTAGCTCTTTTCCACACGGAAGAGAAATGGACTTCAGTCTAGTTACTCCACAGTGTGGACCTGCGGACCATAGGTGAAATTTACAAGAGACAGACAAACAGCTCAATTCACAACAAAGGCCAAAAACTTCCCGACAATTAGAATTGTCTACAGATGAGTGAACTCACTTTCAAAATAGTCAGATCCTCACTATTGGAAGTTGTAAAAGCAGAGGTGGATGGCTTTCTGTAAATAAGTAATATTTGTGTATATTAAAATTTGGTTATAGCCTTAGATCGGGCATTGGCAAACTGTGTGTGGCATGGTAGCTGAGTTTGTTTTTTACATTTTAAAGGGTTGTAAAAACAAATGAAAATAAAAGAATATATGATAGATCTTACGTGGCCTGCAAGGCCTAAAATACCTGACCCATTAAAGGAAAGGTTTGCCAGCTCTGCCTTATATCAAACCTTCCTAAAATTTGCTTTCTATTCCTAGAAAACACTGGGCTCAGTAAGAGGCAAGGAAAATTGTCATTTTTAGCGACGTAAGTGGTTAAACGTCCATGTTTCCACAGACAGTTTTGGAGCAGTGTCCTACTCTGCCCTGTAGACTTCGGAAATTCAAAGGCAGATGGCATCAGCGTTAGCAATCTTAGGTATCCTTGAGTCTGTCCGGGAGAATTGGTTTTGACTATGTGGGCCTCCTCTCATAGTATCTCTTTCAGATCTTTAATTTTCTGTGCATTTGTGTAAGTAAAGAAAAAGGGCGGGTGATATATTATTCTGAAGACTCAAAGTCAGTTATTTGGCTTTGGACTATGTTTCTGATCTTCATTATCTTTAAACCTAGCTCCCATCTCTGCTGTACTGTCAGAAGCTTTGAGTGCTGATAGTTGTCAAAGGAAAGAGGAAAAGATAGTGACTAATCCACAAAGTAGATGATATAATCATTTATATGCAAATTATTCTCATTTTTTAAATCCTTCAGGTAATCTAGTAATAGAGAGTAAACCAGCTCCTGGTTATACTCCTAATGTTGTAGTTGGGCAAGTTCCTCCAGGGACAAACCACATTAGTAAAACCCCTGGACAGATTAACTTAGCACAGCTTCGACTCCAGCACATGCAACAACAAGTGTATGCACAGAAACATCAGCAGTTGCAACAGATGAGAATGCAGCAACCACCTGCACCTGTATCAACAACAACAACAACAACACAGCAGCACCCTAGACAAGCAGCCCCACAGATGTTACAGCAACAGGTGAGCATTATTACATCATGACATTATTGACAAATTATGAAGGCCTCAGGATTACACTCTGTCCTGTATGGATGAATTACACATTTCAACGTTACTAGCAGGGACAAAGTTCAAAGGTTAGATTTTAAATATTTGCTCTGGGTTTGGCAGGGATTTGGGGGAGATGTGAGGAAGGGTATTAAATAAATACTTACCATGGGAAACAAAATTAATTCACTAGTACTATGGAGGAGCACAAGATTTTATCCCTCCATACCAGGTATTTTTTGTTTTCTGCATGTGGTTTTGGGCCAGAGGGACAGATAGTTTTTGCCTAGGATCTGATAAGTGCTTATTTATTTATTTATTTCATTTATTTATTTATTTAAGAAGGGGGTGGGGGAGAGGAAATCTGGAGCAGACTCCACACTGAGTGCAGAGCCCCACCTAGGGCTTGATCCCACGACCCTGAGATCACAACCTGAACCGAAATCAAGAGTCGGACGCTTAACCGACTGAGCCACCTAGGCGCCCCAATCTGATAAGTTCTTTAGGCATTTGTTCAAATCATTTCCATCCCTGTATCTCTCCTGATCTCCCCACCCCCATCCAAATCAAAACCATTAATCCAGGGTTGGATAAGTTAATGTTAATAGGCTATAAATACACACGTGTATTGAGAGGAAGGGATTGGGGCTAGAGATGGGGAGAATGTGACTTATACTTTTTATTTTATGCCCTTCTGTCCTGACAGAATGATTTTTCCCATAATATTTTATAATTGCAAGATATATATATAACAAATATTATTACATAAATGCAATTTCTGCTTTTTGTAGCCTCCGAGATTGATCAGTGTGCAAACAATGCAAAGAGGCAACATGAACTGTGGAGCTTTCCAAGCCCATCAGATGAGATTGGCTCAGAATGCTGCCCGAATACCAGGGATACCCAGGCACAGCGGCCCTCAGTATTCCATGATGCAGCCACACCTCCAAAGACAAGTATGCCTAGAGTTACATTTGTAAGAATCATACAATTTTAAAACTAAAAGACATCATTCTTCTTAATCAGTTGGGGGGGCGTGCTGTGTGACCATTGATACCTTTGAGAATTTGATTAATGCTGTGTATTTTCTTGTCCCAGAAAAATACACATACACATGAATTCAATTTTAAGAGCTTCTTTAATGACATTCAACCCATTATATCCTGTGGGTTAAGAACCCTAGTCCAGCCAATTCATTTTATAGAGGTAGAAAACACAGGAGCTTGTTATTTATCCACAGTCACAAGAGGTAATGGTAAAGTCAAGATTAGAACCTTAGTTTGCTGAAATTGTTCCTCTACTCTTTTAATGAGGTGTTTGGAACCTAATCTATAAAAAGGATTTTGAAAACAATAGAGCTACGCTATATGTAATTTATTTATTTATTTTTTGCCTCTCTTTGCATATTTTTCTTTTAAGGATATAGATGTGCCTACTCTTAAAAATAAATGTATTTAGAAACATGTTTTCTAATTTTTGCCTGAATAGGTTATATTTGAATAGGAGTTAGGATTATACAATCAGACTACTTTTACATGTGATTTTTAGTTATAAAAGAATAAAGTTCATTTTATAACTGCTACAGTGATATTTCTCCTAGCGTGCTTTAATGGCCCTCAGAATGACTTGGCGGGGGAGGGGGGTCCTTGTCAGAAATAGATTCTGAGCCATAGTTACTGAATCAGAATTTCTAGGAGTGAAATACTCAGAAATATGTGAATTTTTACTTAACTTTCAGATCAATCTGCATACTGAAGTTGAATCAACAGTCCCAGAGCAGTGGTCCTTCAACTTTTAGGCCCAAGTATCTCTGGAAAGACTTGAAAAAAATGCACTCCCTCATGTTTACAGTTGACACTTAAAAGTTCCATTATAAACTTAAATTTAAATGGTTGCCGAGGACGTATTTTCTGGCATATTGTAAATATTGACATTATAAAGTAAAACCCTTATATCATTCTTGTAGACAAATCCATTAGAATCCCAAATACCATAGCAAGCTCTTTTTTGAAAGTCAAAATTTTATTCTGTCTTTCTCCTTGGACTTGAATTGGACTTGAATCTTCTACTCTCTCTACAGAATTTTATCTTAATATACTTATGTTTGATAGACTTATAGATTAGTTAGTTGCAGTTTTCTGTGGGAAAAATGTCTCTCAATTTAAAAATTCTTAAATTTCCAGCAACAATAAGACTATTATTAAGCTTAAAAAGATTTTTCCTGGACCAAATTTTCATTACAATAACTCCTATACAATTGTTTAAACAACATAAATATATTTACATGATTTAAGAGTATTAGGAAACATAAAAAGTAAAATTCTTTTAGGTATACATTTCTTTATGAGATAGGAAAAGCCTTTTCCCCCTTCCTATTCATTTATATATATTTGTATGTCTGTTACTTATTAGAGTAAGTTAGAATTCAACATTAATTTTTATTAGTTTTTTTTTTTTCTCATGATCCTCGGGAAATTTGTTCACAAAATCATGTATCTGGGAATTAAAAGAAATTTCTCATGTTCCTCAGTTGTTTAAACTTTTGTAGGTTATAAACTAAAACTCAAAATGAGCTGTCAATACTGTTTTATCAGTCTTTTTATCATTTGACAGTTTCTTTGGGTCTTTTTTTTTTTTTTTTAAGAGTTTATTTATTTGATAGAAAGAGACACAGCAAGAGAAGGAACACAAGCAGGGGGAGTGGGAGAGGGAGAAGCAGGCTTCCCGCGGAGCAGGGAGCCTGCTGCGGGGCTCGATCCCAGGACCCTGGGATCATGATCTGAGCCGAAGACAGACGCTTAACCGACTGAGCCACCCCGGTGCCCCTGGGTCTTTTGTTTTTGTTGATCATCAGGTATCAGAACCCACTTAGAGATCTGTTACCAGGTTTTTGAGCTGGGCACTTTTTCACCAGCTTGACACTCACCTTTGCTTGTCTTTCCACAAGTATTTTCTGCCCCTGGGACGGTGTGCTAGATAAGATGAGGATCCAGTCAGAGCTGTGCTGTTCTGAGGCTGGGGGAGAAGCGTAGTAGTGAAGGAAGAAGAGGAAAGCCTGTAGACTCTGGCACATTCCTAGGGAAATCGGGTTTTCTTTAGAAAAAATATATATAAAGGTTGAAGAAATGGACATTAATTTCTTTACAGCTGTTAATATACCCATGTGCCCGTTAGAATGTGGAAAGCCCTCAAGTATTGCCAGGAGGCAGGCACACCCTTTGGAAGAGCACAGAAGCTGCAGAATCAGGCTTCAGGGCTCCTGCAGAAATCACTGGATGTTAGAATTTTATATGTTTAAATTTCTAATGATTTGTTGATACATGTATAATTTGTTTCCCAAAGATTTTTTATCCATATTACCTTAAAGATGATCCTCCTAATGGTCCCTCACAATGAGACAAGTGAGGTATTAGCCACATTTCTAAATTACTGAGATGTGATTTGCCTGAAGTCACAGAGTATTATAATCAGGAATTGGTGTCATATTTCTATTTGTACATCCATTGTTTTTTTCCTACCTTATCAGTTATACAATGTACAACTACACAATTTTTTTCACAATTATTTTTATTTTTAAAAAGACAAAAGAGTTAAAGAGGACTATAAATAGAGCAGTGGCTTTCCTGGTCTGATGTTTGAAAACTTTGGGGGCTTCCAGATCATCTATTTATATACATCTTTGTTCTGAAATAACATCATATCACCAGGTTGACAGGTTGAAAATTATTGGCAAGTCTGCCTTTTCCTAATACTACACAAAAATGAGTAGGAAAATGAGAAGCCTAAGTTTGAATTATGATTACTTTTTTGTATAAGTTGGAGAAGGCTTACTCTTTTTTTTCCAGTTTTATTGATTAATGATTGATGTACATCACGTTATAAATTTAAGACTTAACAGCATAATGGTTTGATTTACATATACTGTGAAATGATTGCTACAGTAGGTTCTGCTAACATCCATCATGTTATATAGATAACAATAAAAATAAAAGAAACAAATTTTTTTTCTCCTTGTAGTAAGAACTCTTAGCATTTACTTTTTTTTCTTTTCAAATTTTTAATTTAAATTCTAGTGAGTTAACATACAGTGCAGTATTGGTTTCAGGAATAGAATTCAGTGATTCATCACTTACTTACAAAACCCAGTGCTCATCACAAGTGCCCTCTTTAATAGCCGTCCCCCATCTAGCCCATTCCCCACCCACCTCCCTCCATCCACCCTCAGTTTGTTCTCTGTCTTTAAGAGTCTTTTATGGTTTGTTTCCCTCTCTTCTTTTCTTTTTTTCCCCCTCCCATATGTTTATCTGTTTTGTTTCTTAAATTCCACATATGCATGAAATCATACGGTATTTGTCTTTCTTTGACTTATTTTGCTTAGGATAATACACTCTAGCCCCATCTATGTCATTGTAGATGACAAGATTTCATTCTTTTTGATGGCTGAGTAATATTCCATTTGTGTGTGTGTGTGTGTGTGTGTGTGCGCGCGTGCATGTACGTACACCACATCATCTTTAGAATTTACTTTCTTAACAGCTTTCCTATATGTCATGCAATGGTGTTAAAACTATGGTTGTATTGTACATATGTTACATCCCTAGTACTTTTTATCTTACAACTGGAAGTTTGTACCTTTCCCTTTTTGACCACCTTCAGTTCCCCCTTCTTCCATCCTCCGCCTCTGGAAACCAAGTCTGAACTGTTTTTCTATGCATTTGTTTTTGTTTTAAGATTCTGCATATAAATGAGATCATGCAGTATTTGTATTCCTCTGTCTTCCTTCACTTAGCATGATGCCTTCAAGGTCCATCCATGCTGTGGCAAATGATTGCCTCATTTTTTATGGCTGAATAATACTCTGTTCTGTATACAAACACACACATACATATTTTATACATAGACAGACACCCACATACACACCACGCCTTCTTTGTCCATTCGTCTGTGCATGGACACAGGTTGCTTCTGTGTCTTGGCTATTGTTAAGATAGTGCTTACTTCTTTGTTTCTCAGTCACAGATGTCAAGCACTTAATGTATCTTTCCTAACCTAAAAATTGTTGTGAAGGTATAGTTCATATTAGGATATCTTGGCAGATCAAGTAATGATAACATCTTTTTTCCTAACAGCACTCAAACCCAGGGCATGCTGGACCCTTTCCTGTTGTGTCGGTGCACAACACCACAATCAATCCAACCAGCCCTACTACAGCTACGATGGCAAATGCAAATCGAGGTCCCACGAGCCCATCTGTTACAGCAATAGAGCTAATCCCCTCAGTCACCAATCCTGAAAACCTTCCATCACTGCCAGATATTCCACCCATACAGGTTTGTATTTAAGTTGAATGAGAGATTTAAAACCTCATGTTATCAATTAGGGAGTTAAGGGTATACCTATTCTTCTCTTTTTTCTTCTTCTCTTCTTTTCTCTTTTCCTTTTTCAGGAGCAACGTGTTTTAAATTTCCAAAGAGTAGAGTATAATATTTGATTTTTAGAAGTCATGTGTGCTAAAACTGGCATGCCTCAATATATTAAAGCTATAAGATATCAGCTTTGCTAATCTTTCTGCCACTTGCCAGCAGACAAACCTTGTGTTAGATAAAGCACTCGTGCTATAAGTTTGGATCCCAAGAGGAGACCTAGGACCAAAATGTGGTCATATTTGCCAGTCTTCTGTTAGGTCTAAAAGGGATGGTGTACCCCTTTTGCAAACAGGTTGGTCTAAGAAAGGAAGAAGTTGGAAAGTCTAGATATCAGGCACTTGGTGGAGGTGGTGCATACTGAGAGAGAAAGTGATGGTGAAGAGTAGCTTCTGAGACTTCTGTCCCTTTCACCTGTAGCATTTTCCTGAAGAAAAAGATCTTGCAGTGCCTTCTAAAATTTCATGAATTCATTTGAATTAAAAGCATTTTATTAAAAAAATTTTGGGGGGCGCCTGGGTGGTTCAATCTGTTAAGCATATGACTTGATTTTGGCTCAGGTCATGAACTCATGGTCCTGAGATTGAGCCCTGCATCAGGCTCTGCGCTGAGCGTGAAGCCTGCTTGGAACTCTCCCTCTTCCTCTGCCCCTCCTCCCTGCATGCTCACTCGCTCTCTCACAAATAAATATTTTTTTGATGCAGCATACAAACTACTTAATATAAAAGTAATAGACAAAGTCAAATAGATGCTTATTATTAAGAGAAAAACTGACTAGAAGAAATTTTATCTTAAACACCTGGCTGGCTCCATCAGTGGAGCTTGCAACTCTTGATCTTGGGGTTGTGAGTTCAAGCCGCACATTGGGTATGGAGGTTACTTTAAAAAAAATCTTTAAAAAAAACTACCTTATTGTAAATTACAGTTAAATTTAACTGAGCTCTGTTGCTGTGAAGAATACAACTCGTGCACAGTTATGAATGAATGATTTGTACATTTTTCAGGTATTCACTGAATACTACCTTACATACACATATATATTAAATTTGAAAAAGGTTTAATTAAGGATCCCCAGATATACTTCATTTTTGTTGATATTTTGGAAGAGCTTGTTTAAGAGAACAGTCTGTGATTCTGGCTTATGAATTGTGAAATGAACCCGGCCTAGACTCTTTGGGACACCAGATCTCCTCCACTCCTCCCTTCAGACATCAGATGGGTTTTGGGTACTTGTTTGGAAAGTTCTCTGGGTAACATGACGTGCCAGTACTCCTTGTGCTTGTTGAAATACTTGTTCAGGTTGGTAGATCTGCTTGTGGGCAGGGTGGGTGGAAGCACTGAGGCACCAAGAGTGGGCACAGCAGACTGCTTGTCCACATCAAGCCAAGGCAATAACTTGACAAAAAACATTTTATTTATAAGTTTAAATATAACCTTTGAAGTTATGCTGAGTCGTCCTCTCATGCATTGTATGAGTTACTCAGAGTCAAGGGTCACCATGGGAGCAAGGAGCAGTTAAATTACTAAGACACTGGGGCCCTTGATCGCATTTTAGTATTTTTATGTATTTATTGGATTTTATAAGAGTTTTATTTATTTATTTATTTATTATTATTTTTTAATTTTTAAAGATTTTATTTATTTATTTGACAGAGAGAGACACAGCGAGAGAGGGAACACAAGCAGGGGGAGTGGAGAGGGAGAAGCAGGCCTCCTGCGGAGCAGGGAGCCCGACGTAGGGCTCGATTCCCAGGACCCTGGAATCATGACCTGAGCTGAAGGCAGACGCTTAACGACTGAGCCACCCAGGCGCCCCAAGAGTTAGTTTTAAAGGATGTTTCTTTAACTTCAAAATTGTTTCAAAATCACTAACTCATTGTGAATTCTCTTAATCTTATTGCTTCCCTAATATTAGGAGAGATCTTTTTTGGCTGAGTGAATAGTAGTTGTTTTGGTGCTGAGAGGAGTGGACAATATAGAATGGGAAATTTGGGAGTATATCTATAAAAAATTAAATTTCTTTTTTTAAGACTTATTTATTAGAGAGAGTGCACGCATGAACAGGGGGAGGGGCAGAGGGAAAGAATCTCAAGCACACTCCCTGCTGAGCATGGAACCTGAAGCAGGGCTCCATCCCACAACCCTGAGATCATGACCTGAGCTGAAATCAAGAGTCCGATGCTTAACTGACTGAGCCACCCAGGTGCCCCTAAAAAGTAAAATTTCTAAGTTATAAGCTTATAGTTTACAAAGCATTTTCACAGGCAGTTTATCAGCTTAATATGTAAAACCATCTTGTGATAATGTGATACCCCTATTTGATGGATGAGAGAGTAAGAGAGGTTAGTGACTAGTCACCCAGTACATGGAAAAGTTGGAATTCAAAGCTCAGACTCCTGATTACAAGTCTGGTTTTCTTCCCACTATCCATAGAGGTAGTAGGGAGATAGTTCCGGATTGTAGGCCTGGAAAGGTATAGTATTGAGAGGATTTGGGCAATGAGGGAGAGGTATGTGTAGTGTTAGAAGAATCATTTGAGGTTTGCTAAACACTTAGTATATGCTTAAGTCCTTGGGGATTGAGAATAAGAAGATAAATAAAACTTGGTTCCAGGTCTTAAGAAACTTTCAAAAGGAAAAGGAAAAGAAGTTTGCTAATGTCTTATTTAACATAAGTTGCTAGGCTACTTTGACCTTGGTTTGATGCTTTCTGACAGAGACCAGATGGAGGAAATATAGATGCTACACATCTTTGAAAAGCTGGGCATCATATTAGACTTTCGTTTTTATCACCTGCTTTTAAAAATTGAGATATAATTCACATACGAGGAAGTCCAATTTTTAAAAATGTACAATTCAGTGGTTTTTAGCATATGCACAAGATTGAACCATTACCACTATTTCTAGAACATTTTTATTACCCCAAAAGAACCTATCCATTAGCAGTCACATTTCCCTTTCCCAATCCCTGGAAACCATTAATTTACTTTCTGTTTCTGTGGTTTTGCCTCTTCTAGACATTTTGCATGAGTAGAATTACATAATATTTATGCCCTTCTGTGCCTGGCTTCTTTCACACAGCAGTGTTTTCTAGGTCCATCTATGTTGTAGCCTGCATTAGTACTTAATTCCTTTTTATGGCTTAGTATTCCATTGTATGGATATACCACGTTTGATCATGGGCTCATCAGTTGATGGACATTTGGGTTTCCACTTTTTGGCTGGTGAGGAATATGAACATATTTATACAAGTTTTTGTATGAACACAGGTTATTGGTTCTCTTTGGTAAATTTCTAGGAGTGGAATTGCTGTGTCATATATTGTATAAGCTTTTGAGGAACTCCCAAACTGTTTTCCACAGTGGATGCACCATTTTACATTCCCACCAACAGTGTGAGGGTTTCAATTTCTACACATTCTTACCAACACTTGTTACTGTCATCTACTTTTAAAAGTAGAGGTGGTTACCATGAAAGCACAACTATAGTAAGAAATAGTTAACCAAATGAACCAAGAACAGAAAGGGAAGGAAACCTGTTCCCTCTTAAAGAATCACTTACTTTCTCTCCTATTCTGTAGTTTCCATGTATAGTAAGAAGAAACCTGGCGGAGGCTACACAGGAAGTAGACAAGGTAGCATTAACTATGTAATGCAAATCAGAAGTAAATTCAAAGGCAGTTTTGGATATTTGTTGATATATCTTAATAGTAGTTGTGACAGATCTGAATAGAATTCTCTCATTGTGTTTGCTCTACTGTCCATCTCCAACATAGTGATATAATGCATGTTTGTAATTTCGACTTTGAGGTGATACATGATAAACCTGAATACTTTTGTTTTTTTTTAAAGATTTTATTTATTTATTTGAGAGAGAGAGCATGAGAGGGGAGAGGGTCAGAGGGAGAAGCAGGCTCCCTGCTGAGCCGGGAGCCGGATGTGGGACTCGATCCTGGGACTCCAGGATCATGACCTGAGCTGAAGGCAGTTGCTTAACCAACTGAGCCACCCAGGCACCCATGAATACTTTTTGAATACATAAATGAATATTAGATTCTGCTCAGATTAGATTATAATTAATAGATGTAATATATATATTTTTAAAGATTTTATTGAGAGCGTGTGTGAGTGGGGGGGGGGAAGCAGAGGGAGAGAGAGAAAAAAAAGATTCTCTCCCCCCAAAGATTTTATTTATTTATTCATGAGAGACAGAGAGAGAGAGGCAGAGGGAGAAGCAGGCTCCCAAGGAGCAGAGAGCCCGATGCGGGACTCGATCCCAGGAGCCTGGGATCATGACCTGAGCCGAAGGCAGACGCTTAACCATCTGAGCCACCCAGGCACCCGGGAGAGAGAGAATCTTAAGCAGACTCCACCCTAAGCACAGAGCCTGACGCAGGGCTCAGTTCCAGGACCCCGATATCATGACCTGAGCCCAAATTAAAAGTTGGACGCTTAACTGAGTGAGCCACCCACGCACCCCAATAGATGTATATTCTAAGATTTATTCTTTATAAAGAATTTTTCATATTTGGCATACTTAGTAACTATTTATCTGGATACTGTATTGGATATTATGAAGTTTGGGGAAAACTGCATTTCTGATATTCATATGTAAACTTAAATGTTACGGGATACCCATTTCTGTATGTGCTCTTAGTACTAACTAAATGAATCAGTCTTGGGGCACCTGGGTGGCTCAGTCGGTTAACCATCTGCCTTCAGCTCAGGTCATAATCCCAGGGTCCTGGAATTGAGCCCCGCGTCGGGCTCCCTGCTCAGCGGGGAGCCTGCTTCTCCCTCTGTCTCTGCCTGCTGCTCTGCCTACTTGTGTTCTCTCTCTCTGTCAAATAAATAAATAAAATCTTTAAAAAAATAAAAATAAATGAATCAGTCTTTTTCTCCCCATCTTTACCAATCTGATAGGTAAAAAGATATTATTGATTTCATTTCTTTTGATTACATTTCTTTCATTTGTGTGCTTGGTTGCCTTTTCATAGGTTCATTGATGATTTGTATTTTTTCTGTGGATTGTCTTTTTCCTTTTAATTTCATAGAAATTATACATGCTCAAAGAACATTGATTTAATCAATAAATGAATTAATGTTTTTCCAGTTAGACTTATAACTTTATTAATGCTTACTCTTCATCCGTGTCCAGTGAAACCTGGGGGTTAATGTTGCAGCTAGCATTTCCTTGTTGGGGGCTGTAGTGATGTCATGGGGGCCCTTTTATGTACTTCCAGTTTGCCTCTTCCTAATCTGTCCACTCTTCTAGTGGGCAGGCACAACTCCCAGTACCCCTTAATAGCCTCCCAGTGAGCTACTGCCTGCTATCACCTTCAGCCCTTTATGTTTCTGATGTGAAGTTTTTTAAGGGCTTCAATGAGAAAGGCCTATTTACTTTTTAGGAGAGTCCTCCCTTGCCCTGTGTATGTTGTGACCTGCTTTATTTTGATCATTTTTCTATTGATCCCATTCTACCTTGCTTTAATTTCTATAATTTTCTTCAAAGTTTCTGCTTTGATGACATCCTTTCCTGTTTTGTTTTTTTTAAAGATTTATTTATTTATTTATTTGAGAGAGAGAGCATGAGAGGGAAGAGGGTCAGAGGGAGAAGCAGACTCCTCGCTGAGCAAGGATCCCGATGCGGGACTCGATCCAGGGACTCCAGGATCATGACCTGAGCCGAAGGCAGTCGCCCAACCAACTGAGCCACCCAGGCGCCCCCTTTCCTGTTTTATAACTATGAAAATCAGTGCAATTTTGAAAGGAAAGGAGAACAAGAAGTAAATGTATGTGTTCAGTTTTCTGTCTTGAATAAGTAGATTTGCATAAAAGGTAATTTGCCTCTAGTGGGAAAGAAGCTTAAAAGGGGCAAGTATAGGGGCGCCTGGGTGGCTCAGGTCATGATCCCGGGGTCCTGGGATCGAGCCCCACATCGGGCTCCCTGCTCGGCGGGAAGCCTGCTTCTCCCTCTCTCTCTCCCCCTGCTTGTGTTCCCTCTTTGGCTGTCTCTCTCTCTCTCTGTCAAATAAATAAATAAAATCTTTAAAAAAAGGGGGGGGCAAGTATAGGTACAAGTTAGACCAATAAGCAAGATTGGCAGTTGTTTAAGAATGGTTTGACCACCTCTTATGGAATAGTATAACATTTTTCTTAAGGTAATTTTCATAATTAAATAGTATTTACTGTTTCTTACATAAATATTTTCTATTTCATCATTACAGTTCTTCAATGTAGTTGGGAGGTTTTAAAGAGAGGAAATTGATGTTTAGGTTGCCTGGTCCACTGGCTTTAACCTACTGCCTTACCTATAAGTGAGAAAATGGCTCAGTTTTCCTGTGGGCTGCCCCTGTGTAATAAGCGGCCTTATATCCCAGGCTAAGGGCTTTATTTTGAGTTTGAAATCTTTTAAAACTTTAAAGTTAGGCACTGACATGATTAAATTTCTATTGAGGTGAGTGATTCTGGCAGGACTGAATGTTGGAATAAAGAGAGGAAGACTAGATGGACAAGAATGCTGATAAATAGGGTCTTCATCAACTTTGAGAAAAGGCAGAAGTGTCAGTGTGTGTCAGAGCTATTTTATTTTCATAGTAGAACATGAGGGATTTAGTGATTTGTTGGGTTTTGTCTTGAGCTGCCCCAGTATTTGCTGAATAGTATTATAGCTTTGTTCACAAAAACTTTAAACTGTGTGGGTCCTCAGGAGAGGCTAAGGAAGCAACAATTAAGCCAAGTTTGATAAAATAATCTGTTAGTAAACTGTGAACATAAGCAATTATACTAATGAAATTAATAGCTTCTCTGCTTTAATCAAAGCAAATTTATCATTTCATTCTTTCTCTTTAGTTGGAAGATGCTGGTTCAAGTAGTTTAGATAATCTACTAAGTAGATACATCTCAGGCAGTCACCTACCCCCACAGCCTACAAGCACCATGAATCCCTCCCCAGGACCCTCTGCCCTGTCTCCAGGATCATCAGGTAAAGCCATCAGAGGTGCTGCCTCATTTCTTTTGTTACAGCTGACCCTTGAACAACACGGGTTTGAACTGCACAGGTCCACATATATGTGGATTCTTTTCAAAGAATGCAGTACTGTAAGTGTATTTTCTTTTCCTTATGATTTTCTTAACATTTTCTTTGGCTTACTTTACTGAAGAATACAGTATATAATATACGTACCATGCAAAATACGTGTTAATTATCGGTAAGGCTTCTGGTCAACAGTAGGCTATTAGTAGTTTTTAGGGAGTCAAAAGTTATATGCGATTTTTGCCCAATTGGGGGTCAGGTCAATGTCCCTAACTCTCACATTGTTTTAGGGTCAACTGTATATGTATATATTAGGGTTTTCCAGAAAAACAGAATGAATAGGAGTGTGTGTGTGTGTGTGTGTGTGTGTGTGTGTATAGAGAGAGATTTTAAGGAATTGGCTCATATGATTGTTAGGACTGGCAAGCCATAGGGCAGGTTAAGAGTCTGGAGACCCAGGGGAAAGTTGATGTTAAAGGCTTCAGTCTGGAGGCAAAATTCCTTCTTCTGGGGACCTCAGTCCTTTCTCTCAAGGTCTTTAACTGATTGGATGACACCCACCCACATTGTGGAGCTTGATGGGCTTAGGCAGAATCTCCTGATTAAAATGTTAATCACATCTAAAGGTACCTTCACAGCAACATCTAGACTGGTGTTTGGCCAAACAACTGAGTAGCCATATTCTAGCCAAATTGATACATAAAATTAACCATCATAGTATCAGATCATATTTTTTTTCCTAATTGCTCTTTCTATTTATATCTCTTCAAATACTGTTGGCAGTTTTCAGCTAAGTGAAGTAATATATCTGTAGTATACACTGTTCAGAGCTGTTAATTACCCCTCCCTCAACCCCTAGCTGTTTTCACATTCTTGGCGAGATTTGTAGATGCATTTTCTTATATTTTATGATACAGATGGTCAGTTGAAGAGTTCTTTGGTTTCATCCCAAGTTTAGAACTTGCAAGATATTGAAAAATTAAAAAAAAAAAACAAGAGTTGAGGAAAGACAAGTAAATTTTCAAATTGCAATTTTAAAACAAAAATTTTAATTTACTGGAAACAAAGTTGTGACTAATCAAGTCCATGAGATACACATCTCTTCCAAAATCCCAGTTATTTTATTGACCTGTTATCATGAATGAATGATTAAAGCAACTTCAAACAGATTGACAGTGCAGAAGTGGTTATGGAGTGTATTTTTTAGGATTAAATTAAATGTTACTTATTTCTTACTGAAACAGACCACCTTATTATTTCTAGAGTAAAAATAGTTCAAATTTAAATGTGAGTCTTTCATGAGATGCATCATTAATATGATTTTTAGTTGTAGAATTTTTAAGGTTTAATATAATTATTCCAGGACTTCTAAAAGAAAGAATAATTACTGGGAATCTAAGTAGGAGATTTACCAGATGACTTGGGGCAAGGTGGCAAATAGCTTTCTCTTGACCTGGTAGTTTTCATTGATTGGATAGTGTTGCTCTGAGGAGAATTCTGAGAATCCTGTCTGGGCTCAGCTGACAGAAACTGGTTGATGACTTCTCTGCCAAGGGTTTTACATGGCCATCCCTGATTTTGACATTAAGGCTAGGTCTGATTTCCAAGAATTGCTAAATTGCATTATAGTAATCTTTAATTCTGTAACTGCTAGGTAGAATTCTGAATATTCTTATCTGCATTGATATTCATTTTGACGTATTATTTTCCAGGTTTATCCAATTCTCACACACCTGTGAGACCCCCTAGTACCTCTAGTACTGGCAGTCGAGGCAGGTGAGTATTAACATTATTAGTAGTTTTTTTTTCCTTAAGAAAAAATTTAAATATGTATTTAAAAAAGTAGAAAATTACATTGAACTCCTATACTTATCACCTGGCTTCAACAGTTACCAAGTTATAGCCAGTCTTATCTCTTCTGTCCTCCCATGTATTCCTCCCTGGTTTGGATTATTTTGAAACATTGCCATCAACAGATATATTGAGGTCAAAATCAATTTATATGATGAAGAAATATATTGCTTCTCATACAGAGTTTTCCCCCACCTTGTCATTTAAATACAGTATGTGCTGTTTTTTTCCTCTGTATTGATAATTTTGATCAGGAGGTTTGATCAGGGGGAGGGTGGGGTGGGAAGAATACTTCACTGATGGTGGCATGTACTTCCATCAGGGGCACATAACATTTGGTGGTTTTTGTTTGTGACAGCAACCATTAATTGATCATTGCCTAGTTCTTTTTTTTTTTTAACTTGTTGAAAAATAACGATATTTTAATTATTGTGTTATTTTTTTTAATCTACTAGTTTAAAATATTTCTATAAAGAGAAACTTTTCTGTCATCACCTGTTTGGTTATAGGACAGGCAGAAGAGATTCTTTTTTATTTCTGTTTTCATAATCGTGAGTTGGTTCCCAGCACCTTCCAACAGTGACCAGCGAGTGTTTTTTTGTTTTGTTTTGTTTTGTTTGAGTTTTTTTATTACCTTCATGAACTCATATATTTAAACATTTTATATATTACAAACTATTAGAGATGTTATTTTTATTAATGGGTTATATTGTTCCATATTTGGCCTGTCAGAGCTTTTACAAGTTGGCTCCTTAGGTCTTTTGGTGTAACTCCAGTAGTCTTTGAAAGCTTCCTTATTTCCTGTTCTGAAATGATGTTCCAGGTTTGTCTTAACATATTTCCTGCCTCAGGCCTAGAGCCCATCATTTTTCTAAGAAATCCTGGTTGTGTTAGTGAGGAAAGAGTGCTTGGAGACAGTCTCCTGGGTACTAGGGGCACTCGTTGCTGCTGAATTGCTTGTTATGCCTTTTTGGTGGACAAAGCTAAGAAATGGGGTGGTGTGTGGAGTATGTTAACATAAAATGGAATAAATGTTAAAAAAAATAGAATAAATATTGCCTGATTTTTAGACTTTGAATAATTTAGTACAATGCAGGAAAGATTTAAGCTACATGAATTTTTTTTTATTTGGGTGTGTATGTGCAGTTTGAAGACTAGTGCTATTAAATACTTGCTTGACTTTTTAATTATACTTTAAATAATCAGTACTTTTAAAAGAAAAGTACAAATTGAGTAAAAAGGTATTCGTTCTCAATAGCAGTACAGTCTTACTAATTATTCACTTCTTTTGCCAGTGGTTTTACTTTGTGGTCTAGATAGAACTGATTAGTCATATAGCTGTCCTCTTAGCCTATCATTTTGTTTATTCAAATAAGGATATTCAGGGCTGTTGACTACTTGTTATCCTCTTCTCCCAATTTCCTGCCCTCACAAGCTAAAATAGAGTTGCCTTTGAGGAGGCTTCATGAACAACTATTAAGGTTTTCTTCATTTGTTTGGGGGCAGAGAAGAATCAAAACTACTTTTATAGAGAAAAGCAGTCGCTAACATTCTGTATTAACTAGTCTGGGAAAATGGTTTAAATGACTTAGTATAAGTGCCTCACACCAAAAATATATTTTTAGGGTCTTTTGAAAGTTTGATCTACGTTTTTAAAGAATCTGAAGCTAAGCTTATATCATATTTCTCTTACCTGCATTATGAGGTGTCTTTATCTTATAGAAAGTTAATACATTGTTTTTACTTTAATGAATATTACTTTTTGTGTATTTGGTTTTATGTATATTATACAGACATGTGACATTTTTTATTGTTTTTTATTAGCTGTGGGTCATCAGGAAGAACTGCTGAGAAGACAAGTCTTAGTTTTAAGTCTGATCAAGTGAAGGTCAAGCAAGAACCTGGGACTGAAGATGAAATATGTAGCTTTTCAGGAGCTGTTAAACAAGAAAAGACAGAGGATGGCAGGAGGAGTGCCTGCATGGTAAGCTCCCACTGGGGTCTGTCAGGGATTCAAGGAGGCCACTTCATGGAATCTCTAGCTCTCCCTATTAGACTGAATAGTGGTTCTATGGACATTTATTTATTTTTGGATATTTATGCCTGGTATAATTCAAATATCTCTTTCTGTAATTCAAGTTTTTCATCTAAGTGTCAGCTGCAATTTATCACAAAAGATTTGACAAATTTGAAATATCTTTTAGTTTGTTATTGGTCAGTATTTTTGCCATGATTCTAAATCGGGTTCTATTTTGCTTTGACTTTATTAATCATCTCAACAGTCACATTGAGTCTCAGGCCACCAAAGATCCTTAACTATTTTCCTGGACCTGTGAGCTCAGGATTAGGACTGGTGACATGAAAGAAGTTTAATGCTCAAGGAGTTGTGTGATGGGAAGATTGCCTTTGGCTTATGAATAATTAACCATTTAGGAGTTTTTCAGATAGAACATTTTATACAATTTACAATATAGAATGAAGGAAAAGCCACCTTCTCTTCCTCCTCCTGTGCCATCCCCCTCACCCCCACGCAATAAATTTTGATTTTGGTTTTTTCTTCCTGCCCAGGCTTAGATGTCATTTTCTACATGGTTGGCATATAGACATTTCAACTTGGAGTATTAGCATATTTAACACAGTATATGTACATTTAAGAGCAAAGAGCCTTGTATTTGTGGTGTCACATCTTCATCCAGTATCCGGTTTGGAAAGTGCCCCCAGAAAACTGGGTGCGAAAGGGTGGTAAAAGATTTCTCTTACTATTGTCACAATCTTCTTACTTCAGTAAAATGATAGGTAGGCAGAGAAACATTTCTTAAAAGCTATGCAACAGATTTCTCTTGTGAAAAATAGGATATCTTAGCTCTTTGTAGGAAAAGTGTAACCCTATGCTCACTTTACAATCAGTGTGTTTAACAGTTAGTTTAATTTTCTTAGTATCCAAATGAACCAATATTAGAGTGTTCTATAAAATAATAAATTAACATGCCTAATAATTTTCGTTACTTTGTCACTAATGTCATTTCCAAATTAATTTTTAAGTTATGTTAGCATATATGTATGTGTATTGACATAACTCTTAAGTTACATGCACATTGCATACACTAAGGATTAAACAATTCTTTAAGAATTTGTCCTTGTTTTGTTTTAGTTGAGCAGTCCTGAGAGTAGCTTGACACCACCTCTTTCAACCAACCTGCATCTAGAGAGTGAGTTGGATGCATTAGCAAGCCTGGAAAACCATGTGAAAACTGAACCTGCAGATACAAATGAAAGCTGCAAACAGTCAGGGCTCAGCAGTCTTGTTAATGGAAAGTCCCCAATTCGAAGCCTCGTACACAGGTCATCAAGGATTGGAGGAGATGGCAATAGCAAAGATGATGACCCAAATGAAGACTGGTGTGCTGTCTGCCAAAATGGAGGGGATCTGTTATGCTGTGAAAAATGTCCAAAGGTCTTTCATCTAACTTGTCATGTTCCAACGCTTCTTAGCTTTCCAAGGTACCAGTGAGATAATTGATTTTTTTGTTCTTGTTTATTTTTATAAGCTAAAAAAAACAAAACAAAACAGAAAGTTGTTCATGCAGATGGCCTTCCTAACCATTGCATACTGTTTCTGTAAAACAGGGAGCCCATTATTCCTTTGTTATTACCTTCTAGAGAAACTAACAGGTGAATGGTGAAATGTCCAAGATCTAAGTGGTGTATGAATGATAAAAAGTAGACTATTTCCTGGCCTTCAGTTTATACTTAGTGTAAACAAAGTAGATAACACTCTAAATTATGAGAGGCAGGGGCCTGGGGTGTTGGAGAAGTTAGTCGATTTCCTGTTGAAGCTGAATTTTTTTATCTGTTGCCATCAATCTTAATAGGATCTACAGTAATTTCATTTAAGAATACTGTGCAGTTGGAGGCAACTCTGTTGGATCTTACCTAGAACCTACTTTTCTAAAGTTTGAAAGCTCGTGAAAGGCATTTTAAAGGAAAAAGTACTTTGTAAAAACACCTTCAACATCTTGAAGTTTTTAGTTACCGCTTCCTCTTGACCAGTGGGGGCAGCTAGTTGTAGTGCCAGCCTGTAGCCCTGTGTGCACATTTCTCATTTAACAAGTTGTGTTCATGCCATTTTGTCTCTAGTTGATTTCAGAGACCTTCCCCCTTCCCAAGCTCTTACCCCAAATTACCCTTTTGGGTGACAGTAAATAGTGTTCTTGGGAAAGCCCAGCTTTTTTTCTGCCTTTAAATAAAACATTCACATTTCCTCTCAGTCCTAAGAAGCAGTGATTTTAGTTGAGTAAATGCTACTCATTTTGTATAATTCAACTTTCTGGATTAGAAACATGGTAGATATATAAACAGTGCCAGAATATTTTTCTGAAGAATCCTAATTCTTACCTGGGTCTTAAGAGAGGAATAGTCATTTGCCAGGAATGTAATAAGGGCCTTCTTTTACTTTACTCTTTATAGAAGAAAAGTATTGACATTTTGATGTTGTAATTAAGGCTTTTCATATTTTTCTTCCCTTTGGGTAGTAACATCTGCTGGAATGTTAGAATTTTGCCACTGAATGTTTTCTCTCAAAGGCTGATACTTGGGAAGGAATTGGGACTGTTGGCAAAGACTAGTACAGTCTCTAGATTTAGAATTTCTTTATGGCAGGGGAGAGTAGGGGAGAATTACTGGGAATGAATCATTTTAGAATTTACAGTTTGATGGAAATCCTGATGTAAACAAACTATAGACTAAGCAAATTTGAAAGGTAAGGGGTGTATGTACATGTGTTTGTATTTATAGAGGTGTGTGTGTGTGTATTCTTGGCTTTTGACTGGCGTGAAGAATTGTTCTATTTTTGGCATATTTAACACATGCCAAACCAGTATGGGATACCCGAGGAATTCCATATCCCATACTCTTTCCTTATTCATGAGTGTGGGGTCGTTGTGAGAGGTAGTACTGGGGTTGACAGGCAGTCTTACGCTGTAAGTACTGATCATCTACTTGGTGTTACGAAAAGATCCCTTTTGAAATGCAGGGCTACCAGTTTCATAAAGCTTTCTAGAAAGTAATTAATTGAAGAATGACTGGGAAAAGTTTTGGGAAGCTTTTATCATATAGCTTCACTTTATGAGATCTGACAAGAATAGAGCCTCTCTTCCCCTGAAAGACTATGGGAAGGAAAGAAAACAAACTGGAGACTTACCTCCAGAGAACTAGCTTCTCTAGAGTGGGTTTTTTTATAATTACAAGGACTAATTGCCTGTTTCCCTCTTTAGTGGGGAATGGATATGCACATTTTGCAGAGATATTGGGAAACCAGAAGTTGAATATGATTGTGATAATTTGCAACATAGTAAGAAGGGGAAAACTGCACAAGGGTTAAGCCCTGTGGACCAAAGGGTAAGTGTCAGATAAAGTTGGATTTATTATCAGGGATCCTATAGTTGTCTGGCTATGCACCTCTAGACTTTTACACCCAGCTTCTTCATATTTAACATGTCCCAACCAAAAGCTTGATTTCAAAAAGAACATAAATAATAAACAAGCAAATGACAACATAAAAAACTGCACTCTTCCTCTGGTATTTCCCATCATTAAAAGGTACCACCATTTATTTCTGTTGCTCAAGCCAGAAATCTATTAGAAGTAAAAGAATCAGAAATGACCATAATACGATTTTCTTACTTGTCCTCACCATCACCTTCTGAGATAGCCATCATGGTTGTTCATCTGCACTATCATAATAAACTCTTCACTCAGACATCCCTAGTTTACTCTTGCCTCTTCCTACTATAGTTTTCTGTACTGTACATAGTGTTCTTTTTTTAAAAAGATTTTAGAGAGCACGAGAGGGGGGACGGGCAGAAGGAGAGAGAGTGAGAATCTGAAGCCAGCTCCGCGCAGAGCCCAAGTCAGGGCTCGATCCTGCAACCCTGAGACCATGACCCGAGCCAAAATCAAGAGTCAGACGCCCAACCGACTGAGCCACTCAGGCGCCTCTACATAGTATTCTTTTTTAAAAATATAAACAAGTCTGCCACTTCCTTGCTTAAAATCCTCTAATAGCTTTCTGTCATTAAAAATGAAACCCAGAATCCTCTCCTAATTTCACTCAGATTTCTACTGATCTGGTCTCTTCTCCAAAATGAAAATCTCTGTGGTCATTACAGTTATGTTTGGCTCTGATCCTGATGTATATACTTGCAAAATCCCCCTCTACTATATGTTTAGCGTGTATAAACTTCTATTAAAAGAAGTTTAAGCAAATGAAAACTAAATGTAAAATGCATTTCATTTTCTGACTGTATAAAAATATTCTAGAATTGTATTGAGAAGACATAGTTTGTATTTAATTTTGGACCTGCATGGAATCACTTCAGGAAAAGAAAGAATAACATGTGTCCTGCTTGCATCAGAGAATTACAGTGAATAGCAACAGCAGTAATTTATAGATTACTAGGTAATCCTGGGGCACCTGGGTGGCTCAGTCGTCAAGCGTCTGCCTTCGGCTCAGGTTGTGATCCCAGGGTCCTGGGATCGAGCCCTGCATCGGGCTCCCTGCTCAGTGGGAGGCCTGCTTTTCCCTCTCCCACTCCCCCTGCTTGTTTTCCCTCTCCCACTGTCTTTCTGTCAAATAAATAAACTTTAAAAAAAAAAAAAGATTACTAGGTAATCCTAATTACTAAGATTTATAGGATTTATAGGATTACCTAGTAATTTATAAATTTTTGCACAAAATGCTGTATGTTGCTTTTATGACCGACTCCTTTCCATTTCCGTAAATAGTCAGTAGTAGATAAATTACCTTAGTCATTGTCTAAAAACAAAAGCACTCTATCTTCGATAAATTCATTTAAAAGTAGAACAGAAATTCATTTAATTTTTTTTTTAAGATTTTATTTATTTGCGAGAGAGAGAATGAGAGACAGAGAGCATGAGAGGGAGGAGGGTCAGAGGGAGAGGCAGACTCCCTGCTGAGCAGGGAGCCCGATGTGGGACTCGATCCCGGGACTCCAGGATCATGACCTGAGCCAAAGGCAGTCGCTCAACCAACTGAGCCACCCAGGCGCCCCCAGAAATTCATTTAAAGTAGAACAGAAGAGGGGCGCCTGGGTGGCTCAGTCGGTTGAGCGTGTGCCTTTGGCTCGGGTCATGATCCCAGGGTCCTGGAATTGAGCCCCGTGTCGGGCTCCCTGCTCCGTGGGAGGCCTGCTTCTCCCTCTCCCACTCCCCCTGCTTGTGTTCCCTCTCTCACTCTGTGTCTCTCTCTGTCAAATAAATAAATAAAATATTAAAAAAATAATAAAGTAGAACTGAAGATAGTCTCAAAACTAAATGGGAAACAAGATGGTTTTCTTTGGGTATGTGTATTTAGTTAGATAAGTCAATATATAGGAAGCATATGTTCAGTTTGTTGTAATAATGGTTTGTACTGATAAAGTTCTCCTAAGGAAAAAAAAAAAAGAATATCTTATTAGGGGAAAAAACATTTCATGAGTTTTCCTTTCTTTTTTGGGGGCCAGAAATGTGAACGTCTTCTGCTTTACCTCTATTGCCATGAATTAAGTATTGAATTCCAGGAGCCAGTTCCTGCTTCGGTGAGTTGTTTACATTATGACATCTCTAGTGAAGAAACTTAGTATTAAGACTTAAGAGTGTTGGCTATGGCCTTAAGACTTCTTGTCTCAGGCTTCTTGAATAATCTTAACCTCTCCAAGGTTCAAATTTTCTTTTCTCATACTATTTCTTTCCCCATTTTGGATATTCCAAGAACACATAGGATAAAGAATGTTTTAGCACAGTACCTGATAATGTTGTAAGTATTTATTAATCTAAAATTTTATTAGGGCTCTTATGGATGTGGAATTCACTTGTCAAAAATTGCAGTTTGTTTTTTAAAGGTTTTGTTGTTGTCATGAAAACTTAATGAATTTAATTTCTGTGTCCTCTTTCACTTTTAAAATGGACATAAAAAATATGGGTGTAATGGAAAGAATCTTGGACCAAGAGTCAGAAGACTTGACTTCTCCCAGTTCTTCCATTAACTAGCCTTAAAACTTGGGGGAAACTACTTAATTTTCTGCCTCTACTTTTTTAAACATACAGTGGGAGTACTGGACTGAATTATTTCTAAAATTCCAGTTCTATGATTCTAGGCTCTGTACCTTGGGGAGAAAACAGTCTCTATGTAAGTATTAATTTGAATAAAAATGTAAAATTGAATCTTTCACACTGGCTCTTAATGTTATGAAGATAAGCCCTCTTTATGAACAGTCAAGATTAAGAAAGGACTGGAAATTTTGCAACTCAATGCTCTTTGTTTATCTTAAAGGAGACTAATAAGGAATAAAAGCTGTAAAGTCCCATAGGAAAAGGAATATCAGGGGTCCTCAGGCTTCATAAATGGAATGAGAATATGCTACACACATTTGCTCACCATCATTTGTTGAATTAAGATATTGTTGAATACCAGGCCTATAATAGAATATTAAGTAGTAGACTTGTTTACTGGGTAGGCTCAGAAATGAATTTTAAAGCACAAAAGGTCTAGACACAAGGAAGATGTTTTGTATAAATAGTAATCCTCTGATACTAGGAAGTTTGTCTTCAAGTTCAGGGACTTTACAGTAGAAAATAACTTCAAACATTTCATCAACTGTCTAAATAGCTTCTCCAAGTTCAGTTGTTTCTCAAGGGTACAAATTTTTGGCCAGAAGTTGGGGTTAGAACTCTCCCTGGCATGATCACTAAAGGGTTAATAAAATTTTTCTTATTATTTATGCTCTTTCTCCCTCTGTTGTTTTATGTCCAGAGTTCTTTGTGATATAGTTAGCCTCTAAAAGATAACATTCTAATGACAATAATAATAATAAATTTTGTTCTTTTTATTTTTTCTTTCCTTTTTAAAAAAAAAAACAAAACTCTTCGGGAGTCATAATATTCTGATGAGCCAGATGTGTCCTTAACACTAACGGTTGGCTACCCTTGCTGATTGCGTTCTTTCCATATCTCCTTACCACAGATAGAGCTTTTGGGGCCTTCATTAACCATTAAGACTGCCACAGATTCTGAATATGATTTGGTTTTTATGATATGTGATTGGGGCCAAAGATTTAAAGTACCTTCACTATACCTAAAATTTGTAAGCAGCTGGCTCAATAATTAACATATGTTGTTTTCTACAATCAATGTGCTATGCATTTTCAAATAAAACAGTTTGGCATTTTTGGAGAATCCTTATCTATCCTTATTTATTTGTTTCTTTAGATACCAAACTACTATAAAATTATAAAGAAACCAATGGATTTATCCACCGTGAAAAAGAAGCTTCAGAAAAAACATTCCCAACACTACCAAATCCCAGATGACTTTGTGGCTGATGTCCGTTTGATCTTCAAGAACTGTGAAAGGTTTAATGAAGTATGTTAGCTTCCAAACTATAAAGTCTTGGATTATTAGTTTTTTTTGCTTTTTTTTTTTTAATTATGTTTTTCCTGCTAAGAGATTTTTCTAATTTGATTCAAAAAAATTTTTCTGCTGCAGTTCTGTCAAAAGTAAAATTTGATTGCATCCACAGCTCTAATGAAGAAAGTTTACTGTGTATAATTTGAAGTATATTGGATATGCCTTTTTGAACAAGTTGAGGGTTGAGATATACAAGTATAGAAAGTAGTCTGTAGTTAAGTATATGGGAAATGATTATAAATAGCTTATATTTGGGTACATTTAGGAAAGGCATTTGTATTGGTTCCTTTGATTTTATTATTAATGTAGGTTAATAAACTCTAATCTCTGGTGGCTCATCTTGAATAGTAGCCCAGAGTATATAATGTTAAATTTTTTGATCTCAGCAATATGACTTTCATTAACTTCGATTATGTATTTTTTTGAGGATAAGGATGGGCTATCCTTGAGGAAAAATATGATACATGACTCACTCCTTCAAGGAAATTGTTTTGTTTTCTTTGAGAAAAGGCAAGTCTCTTATTGTTAGGGAAGATTTTCATTATTCTAGGAGAAGAAAATGGAATTGGATAAGAATCTACAAAATCTTTAGGAAGATTAACAGTAAAATATCTTCTTTATTGTGGTTGAAATTTGGTGCCATATGACTATTACTAAAAGGACATCAAATCATTTAAAGTATACTCATAGCTACCTCTGGAAGTATCTAGGTGACCTTTTTAAAATTTGAAAAAAAAAAAAAAATCCTTATAGGTTAAAAGTAGAGTGTAGCACTATACCACAGAGTATAGTAAAACCTTACTCACTTGAAGTTAAATTGATATAGTCCCATTTTTTGGTCTTACTTTATAATCCAGTTAGATTATTTTCAAATAAATGTGCTTTTGTGAATTGTAGCTAACATTTGCGAGGAAGAAGACATTTTATCTGCTTTAGTAATAGTTAAATAATTTATGTTTAACAGATTGCCATACAGATAGAATTCTAAGTGGTTTGTTGATGGTTTGGCAGTTTTTAAAAAGCAACATTTCTTATATGATTAGTTTTTTTGTCTTAATTAGATCGATGTATTCAGTCAACCTCCATTTCAGATTGACTTTACTAATTCAGAATTTGAGAGCATTCTTGAGGTTTCACATCAGCTGTAGTAACAGAACTTTGTAAAGAAAGTGGTTCCGTGTGTTCTGTAGAATTTTAGAAAGCACTTAATCTGGTTATAGCAATTTGTTCCCCCTAGTATGGCTGACTTTCGTCGCCAATCCTATGCAGTTTCATAACTTTAGAAAGGATTATAATTTCCCTTTTTTTTTTTTGACTCTGGTATCCTTTTTAGATGATGAAAGTTGTTCAAGTTTATGCAGAAACACAAGAGATTAATTTGAAGGTAAGCTTTTCAGACCATGCAAACTTGGTGAAAGAATATGCATTACCAATAGGTGAATATTCCTATCTTTTGCTTGCAGGCTGATTCAGAAGTAGCTCAGGCAGGGAAAGCAGTTGCATTGTACTTTGAAGATAAACTCACAGAGATCTACTCAGACAGGACCTTCGCACCTTTGCCAGAGTTTGAGCAGGAAGAGGATGATGGTGAGGTAACTGAGGACTCTGATGAAGACTTTATACAGCCCCGCAGGAAACGCCTAAAGTCAGATGAGAGACCAGTACATATAAAGTAAAATGACATGAACTTAAATAATTGTTTAAAAAAAAAAAAGAAAGAGAGAAAAAAAACCCTTTTATTTAAGTGTTGCTGGAATATCCTGCCTACAGTGGGCACCTCCTTGAAGAAGCTGATAGCTTTTACACAGTATTAGATTGAAGTAATGGACAGAAGTCACTTCTTGTCAAAGAAAGGGGGAGAGAACTCTATTTGCAACTTTAAAAGTAAAAACAAAAAGCAAAAGTGAAATGATTTGAAGATTTCTGTTACTAAAGAGGATGGTTCTTTAGAATGGCAGATGTTGGTGATCATGTGGTATTGATTGGTTCAGGATGCTGGGTGTATAAGTAAATACTTGAGGGTCATGTCGCTTGATAAATTGTCTCTTTGGACAAGAGTGCACAGCTGTTAAAAACAACTTTCATGCCTCCCCTTCCACACACATACATACTGGTTTGTTTTCTAGGTAAAATCAAGGTTGTTCAGATTCCACTTTGATGTCAGTGCAGATGTGCATTGAATCATGCCATTATATTTTTTCTTACTTTGATGCTGTTGGGCCTTTTAGTTTTTATATTGGCTTAAAGAACTCAACGGTAGTTTTATTTTCTATTTATACCTAGAGTCTAGGAAACATCATTGATCATCATTTAATCAATTTTAATGGTCTGCTGAAATAAATATGGTAACTTTTCAGTGGCAGATCATATAGTAATCATTTCCAGAAAAACACTTCCACAGAATTGCACTTCCCAATCAGATCACCTGATCATACAGTTACTCCCATCAAAGGCAGAATGTTTGTTTCAAAATTAATCTATAGTTTTCTGTACATTTAAATTTGATTGAGAAGGTGACAACTGGCTCTTATCCAGTCTTCCTTCATGTCAGTTTTCTGATAGACCACTATTGGCAAACAGTAATCTGTCAACTACCAAATGTGTAAAATTTTCTGTATTTCACTTTGTCTTATTTGTAAATAGTGAACTAAAACTTCTGGCAGATCAGCAACATTTGCTGAGCCTGTTTTTTAAGCTAATGTGTATTCTTACTAATGTTCCTATCAAGAATGGATTTGTAATATATGCTGTCTATTTCTAATGTTCACATTCATATTTTGAGGTTCTATCTTATTTTAATAGAGAACAGACTTCTCAGAAAATCTTCAGAAGCAGCTTATTATTAAATATCAAACTATTGAAATAAACCCGGTGGGGTTAGATTACTCATCTGTCCACCAAGTGGGACATTTGCATGGACTGGGGCTTAACGGACTTAGAAGAGGCCTGTAAGTAAATCCTGAAAATGAGCCAATCCCCACTTGAATGGTTACTGGAGTAAACCCACCTTTACTACCCTGAGTTCAGCCCCTGAGGCAGATAAACCACCTTGGCTTGGTTTCATTTTTTTTCTCTTCATTTGTGATGCTCAGATCCAAGATGTGTGTTCTAGACCGTGTACAGGCTTCTCTTTTGTTGGATTAAAAAAATTTAGTCCTACTTTTGTATGGACACCTTAGAATATAAAGTGACCAAAATAGAAGACTTGCCATTAGATATTTTTCAGACGTCAGCAGATTTGTGGCAAATCATTTGCCTTTTTAAAACTTCAGCTTCTGCAGTTCAGACAGTAGACTACTCAGTAAAAATTATTTGACATAATTGTCTAAGAGGTAAATATTTTTTAGTGCATATTGAATCAAATAAAGTGCTCTAAAGAAATTATTATACAAATTCCTTTGGGTTGTTTTTCTTTTCTTAAGTGTTGGGGGTAAACATGAATATTATTCAGGCCTTCTGATGGTGTATGTAAGTGGTGTTGATTTTATTACTGCTGTTGACTGACTTCATTCTGTGGCTTCCTTCTAGCTTCTCTTTCAGTTTTGTTGTAAGTTCAGCTTTAAAATTTACACCGAACTGTTCTATCATTTTACTCAAATTTTCAGGTACCTAAGAAGAGTTTTCTTATAAGAGGGAGAGAATCGTTTTAAAATGCTTTATTTATGTGCATTTCTCTCTTTTCCACAACTGTTATGATTTCAGTTTATCAGATGTATCTAAGGGCACATTTTTGGAAAGTGATGAGTAGCAGTATAACTTCTTTTGTCAAGCCATTGATTTCTAATATTTTATACTTGCTCTTCAGATGAATCCTTTTCATGATTCTTAGATAAATCTTTTATATAGGTTCTACCAGTGGGGGAGAAACTAAATTTTAAGTAAATATTTCTTGATATTTGGGGCCTTAAAAGATAATGTGTTCCCTTAAAGATATTTCCATGTTAGGTGTAATTTTTTTTTTTCTTTTAAGATTGGTTTTTGAAAAGCCACTTTATTGTCAACATTTAATAGGCTCCATTTCTGTTAACAGAAGACAATTCATATTACTGAGGATTTACTATTAAGTAAATAGCTATCAACAAACCACCCTTAAATGAAGATTTAGATTTCATTGAAGCTTTTTTCTTGTACACTGATCACTGTGTTCCTAAGCTGATAATCAGTTCAGCCACTATCTAATATAACTGTTAGAAAGTATAAAAGCTTAAATTGATACTCAGATGTCATGTTTTTCTATTTTATGTTTCAAAAAAGCAAACATGGAATATCAATTCCTGAAGGCAATTTACTCTTTGTTAAAAGGCAGTATTTTAGATTTGGAGGTGTTAAGTGTTTCCTTAAAAACGTGCAAAGTTTTGCAATACTTCAGTTCCCATCTCCCATCAGAACACTGTTCCTCAGTCTGTTCTGCTGGCCTAAATTTGTATTTTTTTTAGCACTTGGCTCAGCTGATTGAGTAAAGGAACTGTTTTGCAAGGTGAAGCATGTGCGTGTTCCAAAGTATGGTTAGATTGTAGGTCATGCTCTATATAGAAACATCAAATCATTACCACAGAGAGATGATAAGGCATTGGATCCCCTGTTGAAATTATTCTTTTTGGAATCAACAAGGTACTTTCTGACTTCTATGTCTTATATAAAGGAATTTTAAATAATATAAAGTCAGTTAATTCTCACTTTTTGTTGTAACAAGTTTTTGAGATTTTTAGTTAATCCAAAGAAATAATGCTTTTAAGTAGAAGCAAAAGGTTAATAGTGTGCAAATTGTAGGTTTACCAATTACCTCAGCAGGTATCCTGCCATGTAATTATTAGTAATTAGTGTTAATAAGCCAGTAGATTTAGGTCTTCTGACTGTGCCCTTGGAGTTTGGCCTACCATATGTTACTCAGCAATCTCTTAGTATCCAAAATGGGAGTAGATGCTGTGGCCCCCTCTCCCTTGGCCTTTTTAAGTCCTTTACCCATTCCCACTCACAACACAGGAAGTATAAAGATCTCATTTCTTATTGAAGTCAACACTGCTTATTTGCATACTCAACATTGGATCGGTGAGTAGTTTTGTAAAATCCACCCACCCCAACTCCCCTAATTAAAACAATCAGATTCTTAATTCATACCATCTGTATTATTAATCTGCTAAAGATGATCCAGGGTTTTCAAGGTGTATCAGTTTGATCTTAAACTGAACCTGGATGCTTTCTTTTAGTTTTCTCACAGTTCTCTCCTCCTTGATAAAGCAATAACACTGCTTTAGGTCTGTTGCCTAATAGGCACGTCATAGTCCTCTCCCGGATGATTTTATAGGAAAGTTTGTATGCATATCACCCAGTCTATCTTTTAAAAAATAAGAAATTTAAATGTATGCTGGAGCTTATGACAATATATTGTGGCATTTTATTTTAAAAATTGGGGAAAGTTGCATATTTTTTTAAAAGTAGGTATTTGAGTAAAAAAAATTGAAGGTACTTTTTTAAGAAAAAAATTTATATGCCACAGTTTACATAGACATTTCAGATTTCAACATGTACTCTTGGATATAATGGTTTCTTTTACTTGGCCAAAATGCATGTAAAGCATATCTTCCATCTTAGTTCCTTGTGTTTGCCTTCGTGGTCTTTTATATATTTTTTATTGTATCTGAGAAAATTATCTTCAAAAATAACTCAATTTGGATATATTTGTCATAATCATACTACAAAATGTACAAAATTAAGTTTAGCCCTTTTCTAGCAAGTAATCTTTAAAGTAAAAAATGCACCGAATTTGTATGTGGGAAGGCACTCAAATGATTTTGTAGGTGCCACTGCAATATTCCCTTTCAGGTGTGGCCTAAATTTCAGTCTTAAGAAGAAAGTGCTTGTCTGCTCCTGGTCTGAAAAATGTAGGCATTTACTATGTTTTAAATCACAGTGAAACATGTATATAAGCCTATAAAAACAGTATGTGCAATCTGAAAGCCTGTTAATTTTCTATGTAGACATACACACGAAAGGGTTAAATTCACAGCCTTACTAGTTCCTTGCTTCCAGTATTTCAACTGGTCTCCTCCCCTCATTATTATTATTATTATTATTATTATTATTACTACTACTACTACTACTACAACTATTATTTTTGCACATAATTAACTACCCTTCAATATGATTCTTAAAGAAAAAGTGCTGTTTCTGTGGTATTGTATTCTCTAAATAATCATATTTAATTTTTTAAAACAAGGTTGCAGTTTCTAATTGTTCCGTTCCTGTGTTTTTTGCTGGTGTGTATTAAAAGCAAGATTTTCTTTTTCATGGTTATTTAATACATTAGCTGCCTGTAAATATTTCTTGTTATAATGCTCTGGAATGTGTTGTAGAAGTTGTATTAGATTAGTTTAAAGCCTTGTTTGAAAGCCACATTGTTTTGGTTATTTCTATTAAATTAGAAAATTGAAAAAGTTTGCAAATGAATTCCTTTTTTTCTTCCTGAGTTGAGATTTAATCATTAGTTTGCTTAAAAAATGTTTACTGTATGCCAGGCACTGGAGATACAGAAGTGAACAAGATAAATTACAGTCTCTCCCTTCACAAGTGTTTAGACTCTATATGAGAACAATCCGTGTTATGATGGGATCAACAAAGAATATAGTAGGAACATACAGGAAAGGCTCTAACACCAAACTTTGTTGATCAGGGAAGTGATCTCTTTCACTCATAAAAATATGATGACAGGGGACCAGGCAGAGTGAAGAGAGAATAAAATATAGAAAAGTCTGAAAATGAAAGGGAATGTATTTATGTATTCCAGGACCTGAGAAGTTCAGCTTGGATTAGAATATTAGTTGGAGCAGTAAAATACTAAGCTGGAGAACTAAGCCAGGGTCCTTTTTAAGCAGTGCCTTGAGAGTCATGTTAAAGGGTTTGGGGCTTTCACTGATGTTAACAAGGAGCCCTTGAAGAATTTTAAGAATTCTTCTTAAAGAATTATCCAAGAATAGGGCTTGAGAGAGCTGATATAATCTGACTTGCCTTTTTGAAAGTTTGTTTTAAACTGTGAAGAATGGATTATGGAGAATATTGGAAGTGGAGAGAGAGTTGTCGGCTGTGAGTAATCCAGATGAGGCCTAAACTAGCTATCTGGTAGTGGAGATGGAAACTAGCAGTCAAATTTTAGAGAGATGTAGAAAGTAAAACAGACCAGTAATTGAGGCCAGGTGGTCCTTACCTTAGGCATATTTTATATGACACCTGTTAAAGTAATAAAGAGTGGGAAAAAGGAATAGATAATGAGTGGAGAGAAATGAATTCAGTTTGGGAGGCATGTTGAGTTTTAGGTACCCGTGGAGAATGAAGGTGTGGGTGTCCATGGTTCTGGTGCTCATGAAAAATAACTGAGCTGCAGACAGAGCCTCTAAGATCCATCAAGATCCCGTCTGTCTTGTCACTGAAAAATGGCTAGCACATGATAGGCATTCAGCAAACACCTGTCAAAAGTTGAGCCTTTAGCATAATGTTGTTAACTAAAACAATGTAAGATATGTTATTGCCTAGGAAAGTTATAGAATGGTAAGAGTAGGGTACTTACGGTAGCAGAGGAAACATTTAAGGAGTATATTAAAACAAAAAAAGATTCTATAAGAAGACTGGATTATTTTTGGAGGAAAGGCAGAGGAGCCATAATGGAAGATGAGAGAGGTTTCATAAGGGGTTTCAAAAGGAGTATCCTTGAAATCAAGTGTTAGAACAAGAGATGAAGTAAAGGTACAGTGGCCACTGAGTTGAGCAATATAGAAGCCATAGGGAGAGCTATTCCATTTGAAGCTGCAGTAGGAATACAGTGGGTTAGATAAGTGATTGAGTATAGATTGTTTTTCAAGAAATTTGACTTTGGTTTTTCTTTAGGTCATGCAGAACTATGGCCATGAATAACCAAGTGAAATATCAGAATGGAACTTCAAATTGTTACCTTTCTGGATGCATTTTGTGTAGTGGAAAAATCGAGTTTTGGCCATTGGGCCACATGAACCCTTTGGTTTGAACTGGTAAACTTTGTTTAACCAGTTACCTGTGTGAACTCTGAGTTTCACTTTATTTGTCAAATTAGGATAGCTATATCTAGCTCCTGGAATGAATATGGACAAGAGGTCATTTATAGCACAAGGTTGACAAATGGTAAGTTGTGATAAGGAAACATACAGTTTCCTTTTTTTCCCCTATTTCCTCTTCCTGCTATTGCCATGAAAAGGGGCAAGTTAGAAATGTAGTTTCTCCTTTTTTACTAATGAGATGAGAAAAAATGTAGATGCAGGGCCCCAAGGCTTTAATATCTGTCCTCAACTCTTAAATATTTAGCTTGTCCTTCACTTATTTGAGACTTGAGTTCTAAACTCCAACAAACACCCAAATTGGCCCCTACATTTTTAAGATAATACTTGCAAAAATGAATTGGTAGGATAAAACACCTAATCCAAGGTTTTGTCTCAAGCTTCCCCTTTTCATGGCCTTAGGTGGTGGTAAATATGTCACTATTCTTTCATTTATAAAGTTGTTACTGTTGATCTGGAAAGGCAATATATAGTGACCTCTGTTACTGACAATATGGTAGACTGACTGCATGCACTGAGGAACCCTCCTAATGGTATAAAACATCTGAAATGCTGGATAAGATTGATTTTTAAAAATCTTTAAATGTATTGCTGAGCTAGCGAGGAAGATACTCAAAGCTGTAGCTTAAGCCCTGGGGTTTTTTTTGTTTTTTGTTTTTTCCTTTGATTTTTGGTTTTTCTTTTTTTTTGTAAGCGAGTGTCTGGCTTAAGCTTTGATTGCCAAGGCATCCACTTCAAAGACAACTTTCTGACTAAACACATTGCCAGCCACACAACTAGATAAAGAGCCAGGCCTCCTTTCCCCAAGGAGGCTCCTTTGATTTACAAATCTTGGTTGATTTCAGTAAGTGACCATTTGAACCACTTGTCTTTTCCACACTTTAAATAATTCCCATTCTCTTGTTTTAAATTCACCAATAAGGAGTGAGCCCATGAAACCCTAGACCTACCGCCAACCTCAGTAAACATGGAACCCCTGGTCCTGTGTGTGTGTCTCCCCCTGCATCCCCCCCACCCCACCCCCATCTCCCTCTGCAACCTTGCTATGTGGGCCCAGGTGTACTGTGTAATTTCCAGGTCTTGTAAGTCATAAACCTTTATTTCTTCAGTTTCCTGATGGTTGTTGCTGAAGTGTCTTGCAATCATAATAAGAACCACAGAGGCCCATCCAGCCACAGCATTAGTTATTGGTAGATTGAGACCAGTACAAAACAAAGCTCCACTTCATCACCTGTAGCATTTTAACCAAAAATATTTGACAGTCTAATCATATGAAACAATTAGACAAAAGTGCAATGTAGGACATTTACAAATATGTCTGGTGTGAATTTTTAAAGTAACTGTTGTGTCAAAGAGGTGGGGAGACTGTTAACAGATCAAAAAACAACATGTAATGGGAGCACTTGGGTGGCACAGTCAGTTAAGCGTCAGACTCTTGGTTTTGGCTCAGGTCATGATCTCAGGGTTGTGAGACATCAGCTCTGCACTCAGTGTGGAGTCTGCTTGGCTTTATCCATTTCTCTCTGTACCCACCCCCATGCGCTCTCTCTGTCTCTCTAAAATATATTTTTTTTAAAAATCGTGTAATGCATTAACTTAGATTTGATCTTGAATTAAATAAACCTAGCAATCAAAGCCATTTTAGAGACATTTGTGGAGATTTGTATATGAATTCTTAATGATATGGAATGTTTAATTTTCTTAGGTGACAGTCACTTTTTCCTTATACAGAAGAATGTCCTTTTTCTTAGGAAATGCATGCTGAAATATCTAGGAATAAAGTGTCATACTACTTTCAAATGGTTAGGCCAATGGGTGTGTGTGTAAAATAGATATATGAGATCATGTGAATGTGGCAGAATAACAACTGGCAAATCTTAGTGAAAAGTAGATGGGGTGTTTATTATTTCAAATTTTTGAAGACTTCACAAAGTTTTCAAAATAAGGTTTAGCGGGGTGGAACAAAAAGCGTGAATCCAAAGAAGTACTGAAAAAGTTGCTCCAAAGGCTCTGCCAATCCTTGTGTCCTAAAGACTTTGGAATGGGCTAAGCTTTAAAAGGGAGACAGAGCATAGGGCCAACATAAGGGTGGGGTCAGAGTGAGATACTCTTCCAAAACCTGGTCCCTCAAAATATGATACACTCAGTGAAAGAATGAGCCAGAATAGCCTACCTGAGGAGAGGAGAGAAAGAAAACTGGGTGGGGGGAAGTGGGGAAAAAAAACCCCTACCCTTAGAATTGGTGTCTACAAGCTGACACTTAAAATGGTTTTGGAATCGGACTTAAACTACCTATGTCATCAGAAAAACTAAGACTTAAAGTGGTATCAGGTTAGAAGTGTTTTCCAGGCACTTAAACAAGTGTTAATATAACTCTTTCAAGGAAAGCACTTCAAACCCAATCTTGAAGAATTTTCATAGTGTTATAATAATCTTGGACTCATTCAAAGTCACAAAAATGAGAAACAAGTCATTATTAAAAAATTAGGAGAAAGCAGAATCTGGCCTGTAATGATTGCAGACATTGGAATTATTGGATGAGTGTATTCAGACATTGAAAAGATTTTAGTATCTCTAAAATTGGGATGGCATTGTAGTATATTTGGCTATGTTACTGGTATAAAAAGTCGTGTATCCTTTGATACTTGATGGCTTAGATTCATTGAAATACAAAATGCATAAGGAATAGAAGAATGTCCAAAAATTGAGCAAGAATGAGAGACTATTAAAAATCGTGGAGGTGGGGATAACAGGTGCATGGGAAGAAAAATGATCAGATTTGAGAACAAAACATCTAGACAAAAACATACAGATAAAAGAAGACCAAGATGAAGAAATTACACAGTGCAGTGCAGTACAGAGAGAATGTGTGAAGAAGTTAAAGGTCACCAAGAGCATATGGTAAAGGCCAAAGGACATCTTATAGAGTACCAGAAGGATGATACAGAGAATGGTTAGGGATGATATTTGAGGGTATTTTGGTAGTTTGGCTGAGAACTTTCCACATTTGCTTAAAGTCCTACAACAATGAAAACCAGAAGACAGTAGGATATTTTTAGATAGAGGAAGCTGTCAATCTAGAATTTTGTACCCAACAAAACTACCAAGAAAGAAGGACAAGGTCATTTTGGATAAAAAGTGAGAACTTACTAGTAACATATCTTCATTAAATGAACTCCTGGTTTATTCCTGGAAAAAGAAAACAAAGTTCTAAGACACAAGAAGGGATGGTGATCAAGGAAAATGGTTAATGAATGAGGGTAAACTAAACTTTTTAAAACAATTTTTGAGTTAAAAAGTGAACCAGATGACACCCAGCATGACAGTGTGATTCTGCTTCCCTGCTTCCAGGGAAAGTGGTGAAAATTTAGAAAACAAAACGTGAAGCCTCTGGAAATGGACCTATGAAAAACAGCAAATGAAGAAACATCTGTGCAAACAGCAGGTGATTAAGTAACATCTTTTTAAGAAAACCTATGAAAATTCTGTAGGGATGGTGACATTTGAATCAAGGCTTCTCTCTAGCTCCTTACTCCAGCTCAGCAATGTGGAGACTCCAGACTGCTACAGCTAAAATCACAAAGCTTCGTCTTTCTCAACTCCCAGTTGAAGGGCTGTCTTCCTGGGAAAAGCAAGACATCAGTCTTTCTCATCCTGTCCCAGGTAGCTGTGGTGAAGTTTGAAGTGAGTGTGGTTGAGAAGTGTGTGTGTCTGGGGGCTCTTATTCTGTTCAGCCCCCGCTCAGAGAATGGAGGCTCTACCTTGGGTGTAGCATGCTTAGAATTACTCGGGACACTGACCACCTTTGCCCTAGCACATGAGGTGGTAGTTCCATACCAGGAGAGACAAGCGAGAAGGCCTCAGGCTGCTTCCCCTCTTCCTCCACTGAGCACTTAGGGATGTCACTCAGAAGTTTCACATTGTTCCAGCTAAGCCCTGGCTTTGAGATTTTAACTTGAGAAAGAGGCACTTTATGAAGCTGATAGCCCCTAATCTCTTTCAAAAGGATAGACTTCAGTTGTAAGAGCATGGCCAAATTCAAACATGAGGGCACAGCACTGGAGGTTGTGACAAAAGGCAACTAAAGAGAGATTCAAGATAACAATCTAAACTGTAGGTTCGCTAGTTTGCAGGAGAGAACTGGGAAATAAGCCCAAGGGAGCCATACTGGAATTATAAGACTAACACACAGATCTCAGTAACTATGCATTTAAAGGAGCCAGAATATGATTGGATTAGTTTATAGACCAATTTATGCCCAACAGCATTGTTGAAAACAATATAGCAGCTGGCAATTATGGGAGTTTAACAGCTGGCCTGGTCAAAAAAATAATACGGGAGCCCTATCAAACCCACCGTCATCCCAGGGAAATTTACCCAAAGTTATGCCTTCTCAGAAAGAAACATTAGAGGCTTAATGCTGGGAGAGAGGAGGGAGTACACTTGACTAAAACAATTCAGCCAGTCACTATAAACAATTAACAATGCCTGTCACTTGGGGTGGAGGAGGGGAAGGACCAGCTGCTACGTTATCTAAAATCTCCATTCCCCAACAAATACTCATTTAAAGAAATACAAAAGTATAACTAATATGCTGGAAATAAAGCAGGCAATAGAAATATGAGAAAAACTTGAAAGTAGTCACTATAAACATGTTCCCAGAACTAAAGAAAACCATGGTTAAAAAGTAAATGAAGGTATGATGTCAATGTCACATCTAATGGAGAATATATCAATAAAGAGATTGATATTAAAAAGAGCCCAGTGAAAATTCTGGAGTTGAGGGATGCCTGAGTGGCTCAGTCAGTTAAGTGTCTGCCTTCAGGTTGGGTCATGATCCCAGGGTCCTGGGATCAAGTCCCACACTGGGCTCTTTCCTCAGTGGGGAGCCTGCTTCTCCCTTTGCCTGCTGCTCACCCTGCTTGCGCTCTCTCTGACAGACAAAATCTTAAAAAAAAAAAAAAAAAAAAATCGAGTTGAAATGTATAACAAAAAATTCACCAGAGAGACTGAACAGTAGACTTGAGCTGGCAGAAGAAAGCATAAACAAACTTGAAAATAGATCAGTAGAGAAAAAGAAATGGAGAAAAATGAACACAGCTTCAGAGAAATGTGGGATGTCATTCAGGCACACTCTGACACATGCATAATGGGAGTAGCAGAAGGAGAGGAGAAAAAGAAGTAAAAATATTCAAAGACAGATGAAAAATTCCCCAAGGTATTGCAAAAACAATAACCTAAGACCACATAAATCCTTATTTCCCTCCTCTGATACAAAAAGTGGGACTGTATAAAACTTTATATGGTATATCGTTGGGCCCATACAGAAATGTAATGTATATGTATTTGCTAATAGCATAAAGGAGATGTGTAGGAGAGAATTTGTATTAGCCTAAGGAAATTACTATAATTGGTAAGTTAATAATTATAACTATTTGTTGGGTTTGTAACATCAAAGGAGGTTTATTTATAATATCACAAAAAGAAAACAAATAGAGCTACATAAGAGTAATGTTCCTCAGAACAGAGAGCCCAGAAATGGACCCTCAACTCTATGGTCAACTAATCTTCGACAAAGCAGGAAAGAATGTCCAATGGAAAAAAGTCTCTTCAACAAATGGTGTTGGGAAAATCGGACAGCCACATGCGGGAGAATGAAACTGGGCCATTTCCTTACACCACACACAAAAATAGACTCAAAATGGATGAAAGACCTAAATGTGAGACAGGAATCCGTCAGAATCCTAGAGGAGAACACAGGCAGCAACCTCTTTGACCTCAGCCGCAGCAACTTCTTCTAGAAACATCGCCAAAGGCAAGGAAAGCAAAGGCAAAAATGAACTATTGGGACTTCATCAAGATAAAAAGCTTTTGCACAGCAAAGGAACAGTCAAAAAAACCAAAAGACAACCGAGAGAATGGGAGAAGATATTTGCAAATGATGTATCAGATAAAGGGCTAGTATCCAAAATCTATAAAGAACTTACATCAAACTCAACACCCAAAGAACAAATAATCCAGTCAAGAAACGGGCAGAAGACATGACCATGACAAGATATTTCTGCAAAGAAGACATCCAAATGGCCGACAGACACATGAAAAGGTGCTCAACATCACTCGGCATCAGGGAAATCCAAATCAAAGCCTCAATGAGATACCACCTCACAGCAGTCAGAATGGCTAAAATTAACAAGTCAGGAAATGGCAGATGTTGGCGAGGATGTGGAGAAAGGAGAACCCTCCTACACTGTTGGTGGGAATGCAAGCTGGTTTAGCCACTCTGGAAAACAGTATGGAGTTTACTGAAAAAGTTGAAAATAGAGCTACCCTATGACCCAGCAATTGCATTACTGGGTATTTACCCCAAAGATACAAATGTAGTGGTCCGAAGGGGTACGTGCACCCCAATGTTTATAGTAGCAATGTCCACAATAGCCAAACTATGGAAAGAGCCAAGATGTCCATCAACAGATGAATGGATAAAGAAGATGTGGTGTATATATATATACAATGGAATCTTACATGGCCATAAAAAAAAAACAACAAAATCTTGCCATTTGCAATGATGTGGATGGAGCTAGAGGGTATTATGCTAAGCGAAATAAGTCAAACAGAGAAAGACAAGTATCATATGATCTCACTGATATGAGGAATTCTTTATTTTTTTAAAGATTTTATTTATTTATTCATGAGAGACAGAGAGAGGCAGAGGGAGAAGCAGGCTCCCAAGGAGCAGAGAGCCCGATGCGGGACTCGATCCCAAGACCCTGGGATCATGACCTGAGCCGAAGGCAGACGCTCAACCATCTGAGCCACCCAGGCGCCCTGATATGAGGAATTCTTAATCTCAGGAAACAAACTGAGGGTTGCTGGAGTGGTGGGGGGTGGGAGGGATGGGGTGGCTGGGTGATGGACATTGGAGGGTATGTGCTATGGTGAGCACTGTGAATTGTGTAAGACTGATGAATCACAGACCTGTACCTCTGAAATAAATAATACATTATATGTTAAAAAAAAAAAAGTAGGAAGGGAAAAATGAAGGGGGGGAATCGGAGGGGGAAACAAACCATGAGAGACTATGGACTCTGAGAAACGGGGTTTTAGAGGGGAGGGGGGTGGGGAAATGGGTTAGCCTGATGATGGGTATTAAGGAGGGCACATATTGAATGGAGCACTGGGTGTTATATGCAAACAATGAATCATGGAACACTACATCAATAACTAGTGATGTATGGTGACTAACATAGCATAATAAAATAAAATTAAAAAAAAAAATTAAAAAGAAGAATAATGTCCCTATATGGAATTAGCCTAGTATAAATCAATAGCTCATTCTGATAAGATGTATATGATAAAGACTAGAGCAACTTAAAAAAAAAAAACCTAAGGGGCGCCTGAGTGGCTCAGTCGTTAAGCGTCTGCCTTCGGCTCAGGTCATGATCCCAGGGTCCCGGGATCGAGTCCCACATCGGGCTCCCTGCTCAGCGGGAAGTCTGCTTCTCCCTCTCCCACTCCCCCTGCTTGTGTTCCTGCTCTCGCTATCTCTCTCTCTCTCTCAAATAAATAAAAAATCTTTAAAAAAAAAAACAAAAAACCTAAGAAAATAAAACAGTGAAAAATTCATTAAAGAAATTAAAATACTTTGAAAAATATTCACTTGAAGTGAAAGAAAGCATGAAAGGAGGAATAGAAGAACAAAAAAGACATGAGACATAGCAAAAAGTAAAATTGTAGACATCAACATAATATTAAATACGAATGGATTAAACAATTCGAATCATGGAGATTGTCAGACTGGGTAAGAAGACCTGATTCAAGTACGTACTGTCTGCAGGAAACACACTTTAGATTAAAAGATACAAATAGATTGAATGTAGTGGGAGGAAATAAGTCATATCCTGCAAACAGCAATCACAATAAGCTGGAGTGACTGTATTTTAAGAGAAAATAGGCTTTAATACAAAAATTCAAATGGGGCACATTTTATAACGATAAAAGTGTCAACTGACATCAGGGAGATTTAACAATTCTAAACATAAATACACCTAATAACAAAGCACCAAAATACCTGAAAACAAAGAAAGATGAAGGGGAAAATAAATACAACAATAATGGTTGGAGACTTCAATATCCCACTTTTCAATAATGGACAGAAAACTAGACAGAACAACAAAACAGAAGATGAACAACACTACAAACTGATCTAATAGATATTTGTAGAACACTCCTCTCAACAGACTACAGATACACATTCTTCTCAAGTGTGCAGGGAACATTCTCCAGGATAGGTCATGTGCTAAGCCACAAAACAAACCTCAATAAACTTAGGAGAATAGAAATAGTGCAACATATGTTCTTCAGGAACAGTGGAATGAAATTAAGAATCAGTAACAGGAAAAATGTTGAGAAAATCATATATATGTGGAGTTACTGAACACAACACTCCAAATAACCAATGGGTCAATAAATCAAGGGAAATCAGAAAACACTTAGAGATGAATGAAAAGGACACATTCCAAAAGTTATTAGCTTCAGCTAAAGCAGTGCATAGAGGGAATTTTGTAGTTGTAAATGCCTATATTAAGAAAGATTTCAAATCAATAACCTAACCTTAGAAATTATTCTTTAGAATTAAAAGAATTATAAGAGAATACAATGAACAATCATATGACAACAAATGAGATAACCTAGATGAAATGGATAAATTTCTAGAAAGACAAACTAAAACTAAGGAAAAAAGTAGAAAATGTCAACAGATCTGTAACAAGTGAAGAGTCTGAAGTAGTAATTAAAAAAAAAAAACTACCCACAAAAGCACAGGCACAGTTGGCTTCACATTTTAATTCTAAACATGTAAAGAAGAATTAAGATCAATTATTCACTAACTCTTCCTAAAAAGAGAAAAGAACACTTCCCAACTCATTTTATATGGCCTTTATTACGCTGATATCAAAACCAGACAAGACATCACAAGAAGAGACTACAGACCAATATCTCTCATGAATATAGATGTGTAGATCCTCAACAAAACACTAGCAAACTGAATGAAGCAACATAAAAAAGAATTATACACCACGACTGAGTAGGATTTATCCTGGGGATCCACAGTTAGTTCAACATCTGAAAATCAATGTAATACATCATATGAATACAATAAAGAAAATTACATGAGCATCTCAGGTTCAAGAAAAACATTTGACAGAATGCAGTGCCCTTTCATGATAAAAACACTCAACAAACTAGGAATAGAAGGGAACTTCCTCAACATGATTAAGGGCATTGATGAAAAATCCATAGCTAACATCAGACTGAACAGTAAAAGATTGAATGCTTTCTCTCAGTCATTAGGAAAAAGGCAAGGATATCTGCTCTTACTATTATTCAACATTGTACTTGAGGTTCTAGCCATGACAATTAGGCAAGAAAAAGAAATGAAAGTCCTCCAAAGAAGTAAAATGATCTCTATTTATAGATGACAAGAACTTACAAAGAGAAAATCCTAATGAATACACTAAAAATCTATTAGAACTAATAATCATGTTCAGCAAGGTTACAGGATAAAAGACAATATACAAAACCTATTGTGTTTCTACACACTTGTGCAATGAACATTCTGAAAATGAAGTTGAGAAAGTAATTCCATTTATAATAGCATCAAAATCTTAGGAATTAAGTTTAATAAAAGATGTGCAAAATTTGTACTCTGAAAACTACAAAACATTTAAAGAAATTAAACAACATCTAGCTACTTGGAAAAATCTCATGTTCATGGATCAGAAAACTTAAGATTGCAGTATTCAAACTGATAATGGATTCATTGTAATCCCTATCAAAATCCCAATTGATTTATTTTGTAGAAATTGACAAGCTGATTCTAAAGTTCATTCAGAATTTCAGGGGACCCAGAATAGCTAAAACAATCTTTAAAAGAATAAAATAAGAGGCCTCATACTTCCCCATTTCAAACCTATTTGCAAAGCAATGATAAGACACACTGATACTGGCACAAGAACAGAAATAGATCAGTGGAATAGAATTGAAAGTCCAGAAATAAACCCATACATGTATGGTCAACTGATTTGTTAACAAGGGTGCAAAGACCAATGGGAAAGGAACAGTCTTTTTAACAAATGTTAATGGTTACCTGGATAGCCACATGCATGTAAATATAAGCTAAACTATAAAACTTGTGGAAGACAACATAGGGGAAAATCTTC